TTTGTTTCTCAATATTGAGAAACCTACAATTGCGTTAAACCTGAAATTGTGTTAAAATAGGACCTGGGGCTTTAGCCCGTGTGAGCCCTACCCAGCAACACCGCTGCAGGTCAGGAATACGCTGTATTAAAATGTATGTTCTTTTAAGCCTGAGATTAGGGATCCGAAACTGCATGGAGTTGAAAGGGGCATTATATCACATTCATCTTGGTGAATAAATGCAAGGATGATATCACCATCTGTGTAGTACATGTTTTACAACATCAATGCCCATTGAAATAGCATGTGTTTGTAAATGTTTAACTTAGTATGAATTAATTTATATGTATTTTGAAGTAATGTTCAACATAGCAATATTAGGAAACAATAAAATCCATTTTGTTGGTATTCTATTTTATTATTTATTTTTAGATACGTTTTTCCTTTGTAAGGTCTAAGTTACACTTTCATTGTGTCCTAAAAGTGTATTGTTTTATTTTTTTTTATTGATCGTCTTTATCCTGCATTATTTTAGAATAGTATTCATTGTCAATGCCAGATCAAGCGTACAATGTGTAATGATGTCACACAGGCCACCAAAGAGTTCTCTACAAAGAGAGTGGACAGGAAATGGCAGAAGATGTAAAAGTAATGTGTAATACAGCATTAGATCACATTACAAAGCCTCGGATTTTAACACAAAATCAAGGAAGCTTTCACGAGGTTTAAATGTCAAGATTATTGTTCACAACTCAAATGGAGGTGCTCAAGTTCTGAGGCGTAGCTAACAAATAAAATACAGTCATGTTGTACTATCACATAATACTGTATAGCTCTTCTAATACATTAGAACATGCTTCCTTCATCAGAGGTGAATAAGAAAGCAGAACATTAAAATCTCCACAACTGAACCTGACTTTTTAGCCCTTTTGCTGTGAGTTCCACTGTAATTTAATGGATTTCCTTTTAATGTACCCACACATTTTATATATTATTTTTAAATGATAGATAGGGCTTTCCCCCCCCTATATACAGCAGTACAATCTTATTAAATAAAGTGTTACATTACAAGAATAGGGTAAAAAAATGCCTTTCTTTCAAAGTTCTTTCAATAGTTTCTGTACAACTAGTGCCACTAACAAAATAACTTAACATAATTATAGAAAGGAATGAAACAAATCAGGAAACATAATACAGAACTTTAATTAATTTAGGGCTAAAATATCTATTCAAATATTCCTTCATGTGTATTGAAGAAAAGAGCAGGAAGAAGAAAAAATAATGTGTAACAACAAGAAGAATACAGGAGAACGCCCGCATGATGTATTGATTATTGTAGAAAATATAAAAAAGACATAAAGGATAATAAAAGATCCTTATATAAGGGACTAGACTGTACAAGACAGGGCACATATGTGAGCTATTAGAGCGGCAGAAAAAACAATAACTAGTTCAGTATAACTGTCCTTACATAACTAATGATCACATCACAAATAAATGCAAAATAACGTTCCATGTTGTGCCTTTGTGAGCAACTAATGCTAAGTGCAAAAAACGTAAGCCTACTAAAAATTCCTGTCTCTATCTTAAAACATAGATGCACATGGCTAGTCTGCTATCTATGTAGAAGAAGATATAAAAGATGCAAAATTATCCAAGTAAAGTCAGAGACAAAATGGCTGACAGTCTAGCACTAGTCAGGCAACTCTACAACTTAAATAAATAAGTAAATGATTAAATAATTCACTCATTAGTTTTCATTAGTTGTTAAAGAAAACTCACATGTTCAGGAATTCACTTTTTTTTTGGAAGTTATAAGACAAATATTGCAAGGAATATATAATTAGGTCTGCTACGACTATATCTTAAATAGCAGCCAAAGAGTCCAAAGCTGCTAAACAAAAGTATATATTTCTAGAAATTAGACCCCCACAGAGTATATAAATAAGCACATCTTGATACTTTTCAACCATTGTCTAACCATCTTCCTCCAAATCTGCTGGTTATATTTATCTATTTTGTGTTACTCACATATTTTTTTGTATGGAAATTCACACATTATGTGTCCCACTATAAATACTTGTATTCTGTTTCTACCCCAAAGAAAAGCAATACCACCCATGTAGACGTTTGTTTGATTTTTGAGAGTTTAATGGATGAAATAATTGGCATGCAAATTTCTGGTTTCATATTTCCAATATTCATAAATCTAACAGGTCTATGTCACGTTGGGACAAAATAGTAGCCCCTAGCTGCACTTTATCCCTATCATGCCATACCATTTTCAAAAAAGGCAACCTGGGATATTTAACCCCTTAACGACCACGGACGTTAAGGACAGCGGACGTACTTAGTACGTCCGCAGTGACTATGCACTTACCTGATCGCTGGCGTTCCCCCGCCGGCGATCATGATGTGGCGGCTTTCCTGGCATGTAATGAAACAGCTGTCCATGAGTGGTTCACTGACTAAGTGGCTACTAAAAAAGGATGGACATACACCATTTGCTATACCTTGGGTTGTCTACTTTTGCAAATGGTATGCCATCATGGGGGTAATTCCCATTCCTGGTCTACCATTTGGTCTCAAAGGCAACATAACCAGTCTGGCAAATTTCAATGAGTATGACCCTGTAACTTTCCAAAACACCATAAATCCTATACATGGGGGGTACTGTTCTACTTGTAAGACAACGCTGAAAACAAATATGTGTACTTTATTGCAGTATCAGCTAACAGTATTATGATATTCAGAGTCATGCAGAACTAAAAATGTAACATTTCTTAATTTCTTTAGATTTTTTTCATATTAAATTATGATTCAAATATAAATATTTGATATGAAATGAAAGCCCTGTTTCTTCTGAACAAAATAATATAATAAGTGTGGGTGCATTTAATATGAAAGAGGTGAATTCCAGATAAACACAAACACAGCAGAAATGTAGAAACAACCCTGGTCCTTAAAGATAAGAAAATTAAAAAATGGTCTGGTCACTAAGGGGTTAATATTGGGCATTTTGAGTATTTAAATTTTTCGACTATTTCATCACCAATTTCTGACTAATTCAGCAGTAATTTTTTTTTACAATTTCTAATATTTACACATTTATTTATACAGCATTACCACACATGTATACCTTTGCCAGTTTTGGGGGGAACTTACACTGAACAAAATTATAAACGCAACACTTTTGTTTTTGTCCCCATTTTTCACCTTTGCAATAATCATGCTGTCTAATCAGCATCTTGATATGCCACTCCTGTGAGGTGGATGGATTATCTCGGCAAAGGAGAAATGCTCACTAACACAGATTTAGACAGATTTGTGAACAATATTTCAGAGAAATTGGCCTTTTGTGTACATAGAAAAAGTCTTAGATCTTTGAGTTCAGCTCATCAAAAATGGGGGCAAAAACAAAAGTGTTGATTTTAGAATTTTGTTCAGTATATATTAGAGACATGCCTCTTTGTTTGCTTCCCAGAGACACTATTTGGTAAAGTGGTACAGTCTGTGATATCATACTGGCCACCATCAAACTATGATTCTATTTCTAACCATCGATTACTCTAGCTAACTGCAACCGTAACTAGTCCCAGCAATAACCCTAACAACTGTTTAGTAGATTGGCTTCCAGGCTGGGTGATCACTGCAAGAGCCAATCAAATTGTCTTAACTGATGGCAAAGGCAAGTGATTACAGTGATTGGTTCCCTGCGTAATCCGACAGTCTGGGAGACAATGAATCATTACTTCTGCTTCCTGGACTCTCTGTTCATGTTTTTCCAGTGTTTCCCATAGTTATATCAAGCTATGTTACATTATACCTTTACTTCAAACGACAAATTCATCTTATCCCAAACCTGCTCTGCTAGATTGAAATTTAGTGACCAGGAGGCTATATCAGTAAACTAAGTTCACGGTCCTGCTTCTGAAAATGATTCCACTTAAAATATTCATCAGATGCATACATTGCTGCTTGCACATTTTATAGGACATATTTTACTTTAGCCAACTTTTATCAAGGAGCACAGTTTATACTAGTGACACACCTCACCCCATAACAACTCTATAATTATGACCACTACCACCATTACCCCCAGGTAATGGTCAAGGTCTAAGTTTTTGACAAAATGCCCTAAAGTTGTTTAGCAGAAAACCAGGAGATGGCACCATAAAAACTAAAGTGAGCTACAGTGGTTATGGTGCTTAGATTGGCACGTTAATATAGGTTTAGCAGTTGTAATAATGCAAGATCATGGCTTCCAACTGAATTCAGCATATCAGTCTATTTCATGAAAGGATTGTTAGAGGGCTAATCCAGACACCATGACCACTTCATTGTTTTAAAGTGGTCATGGTGCTTGGAGTGCGTATGTGCAGGGTTTCATTACGCATTACGTACAGAGATATAGGAACCTGCTGATGCAGGAGTAACTCCACCTCCGTCAGCGTCATTAGCTTATAACTAAATCTGCAACAATAGCTGATGTTAAATCTATGCATATTTGGTGTCTTTAATCAGCACACATAGCATGCTAGAGACAACCGGCTAATTCTAGCAGTCTCAAGCTGCCCAAGCCATCCCTTCAGCCCATCCTCTGAGACGTTCTACTTCCTGCAGCGAGGGGCAGTGATGTCACCTGAGTTTATCCTTATTCCTTAAAAAATAATGTTGTCTTGTAGGTGGGCACCATGCTATCAAGAGTTATTCTAACCAAAAATAGTGCTTTATTAAATTGGAATTACCGTTTAAATAAAATGGCTTGCTAACGCCAGGGGAAAGAGGCAGTGTTAGGTACCTATAGATCATTACATTTTCCTGTTGTCTTGTCATGAGTCTAACATTAAATAAAGAATTTAAAAAATATAAAAGAAAACAACTTATACATCACACGTGTGTTTAACCAGACAATTGCTAAAATGTCTCCCTGGGGAATAGAGAAAGGAAACGCCCCCTTCTCATTTTACTTGAAAGGTGATATAAAGCTGAAATAAGCATTCACACGGACTGGTTAAAGGATGCTGCTCTTTTGTGTGATACTATGTCTGCCATGGATTCTTCAAAGTCAAGGTATTTCACATTAAAACAGGCTGCTGTCTGCATTTCTTTAATTCTATGAGGTTCAGTTACTAAACATAGCATTGTTGTATGGAGTTGAAAACTTGAGTTGCAAAGTTTAGGCAAAAATAGTTGATTTGGAATAATTCTCTAAAATGTGTTTAGTCAAAGCTTGACTGTGTTAGCCTAACTATTGCAATTTGTTTTTTAATGTATTGATTCAACCCATATCTATCTATAGCTATCTCTTGCATCTAATACTGTAATGCAGGGCTTCCAAATCTTTAATGGGCCAAGACCCACGCTTGTAAATGGTAATTTTTCACGACCCATACGCTTGTAATGCATATTTTAAAAATGAATAAACTTGGCACTTCATGGCAATCGGCTTTAGATGCATACAGTTGGCACATCATGGCAATCAGTGTTAGATGCATTAAATTGGCACACCAATGCAGTTTTAGAGGCATGCAATTGGCACACCACGGCAATCAGTTTTAAATGTATAAAATTGGCCTTTCATAGCAGTTTAGAGGCATAATTTGACAGCTCATGGCAGTTTTAAACACATAATTTGGGGATATAATGGCAGTTTTAGAGGCATAAACTTGGCACATCATGGCAATCAGCTTTAGATGCATGAACTTGGCACATCATGGAAATTAGTTTTAGAGGCATACAACTGGTTATTCACGGACTAGAGTGACCTTTTTAAAAGTAAAATATGATACAAGAATAATAATTGTTAATTGTCTTTAAAAGGACAATCCAATCACCATAACTACTACAGCTCATTGTACTGGGTATAGTGCCAGGAGTGCTCTGACACCTTCTCACTATACCCAAATAATTTTTGGCTAGACATCCAATCATTTGACTTCTTACCTGCAGTCTTCTGCGCACTTTGGCAACTCACAATGCTGCATGCCAGGGAACTTCTGAGACTATAACCACAACAGGGTGCTGTACCAGTTATGGTTCTTGAAGTGTTCTTTCAAGTAAATAGCCTCTTTCTTTTGATGCACAGTTGCTAGCTACATATAATAAAAGGTATTTTGATGAGAGAACAGTATTGAACGAATCGTGGGAAATATTTTCTATATCCGCTGCTTTGATATCCCTCTAGAATGTAAGCTCATTGAGCAGAGCCCTCCACCTCTCTGTTCCTGTGTGTCCAACTTGTCTGGTTACAACCACATGTCTGTTAGTCCACCCATTGTACAGCGCTACGGAATCTGAGAGTGACTCATTTGTTGACGTCAAAATAGGCGAGGTTGTTTTTTTACTGAGAGCATGCTACAATATACAAGATCATTAAATTACGTTTTCTTTAAGTTAAGTTATAGTTTCAGTTCTGCTATAACTTGCCTAAAATTTGAAACTCACTTTGAATTCTTAACAAATCACACTTTATTGATCACAATGGTTTTGCATTTATGCCACTGAAAATATCACTCCACATTTTAGGCCTCATCAGGGTGTTGCACGGTTAAATAAACACCTGAGGCTTGAGCCCAAAACAAAACATGATTAACCTCTACACCAGTGGTTCCCAAACTTTTTAGGTTCAAGGTGCCCTTAATATTTCAATATTTTTCCAAGGCACCGCAAGTCACAATTTCTAGGTTGTATATCTGTACAGCGCTGCGGCATTTACTGGCGCTATAGTGTAATGTACAGTCTTCGCGGCCCCCCTGTGTGCCTGTCGGGGTGCCGTGGCACACAGTTTGGGAACGGCTGCTCTACACTAATAGAGAGGTGGAGATGCCATGCTCAAAGGGATCTCAATTAAAGTATAGCTGCTATGAGTAAAAGTTAAAAATAAAATCCCCCAACTAATATCTTCTTGCCTCCTTTGATGCATGTTGAGATCCGGGGCTTCAGCCCCCAAAGCCTCCCTCGCAATACCTCTGGACATCAGCATTTACATCACCGCCAAAGTTATTATTTATTATAATTATTGTGATGGGGCCAACATATTCTGCTGTGCTTTACAGTTTTACAAAAGGGATTTAAAAGTGCAAAATTAAAATACAACTTATTGTGAACAAAAACAATTACTGGAAAGCATGCCGCTCAGATTAATGGGGATCTTTGAAGTAGAGGATAAGGGAAACGGCAGCTTCAAACACAAAGAAATTATACTTTCGCTTTAAACTCACCCATTTGTATTATTATAACAGATTACACAATAGGTCTTTTCACAAAACATTGCGTGCAGAGGACTGAATGAAAGGAGATTATTCTTTTCATGCAAATCCTGTACTTAACAAAACTTTGCAAGCACACCTAACAGCTATCTCATTAGCTATCTCTTATAATATTATCTTATATATTTTTCTAATATTTTCCATAAAATTCTGAAAATTTTAGACTGCACAGATCTGGTAGAAAGTTACTAGCAACTGTGATATTGTATAGAATTATTTTACATTTTTTATTGAATTTGTAATATTGTTTTGTATATGTAATCTATATTTTTTTTGCAGAATAGACCCTTACATTAGATTGATACACACACAATAGGTATTGGGTAAAGGGGTACTCAACGCTGAAATTCACTACTCTTTTTTTAATGTTTAAAATGCACATAAAGATCTTTTAAATTTATTTATTTTTTTAAATATATAACATTAATTTTTACTCAGACAGCACTTCTGTAGCTAGTCCAGAGATTCATCTTCAGTGTTGAGGCTTATGTGTGTTAATAGCATTCCCACAGTGATGAGGACAAATACGGTAAATCTAGATTTTTTCCCCCCCCACTCTTCCCCATCCTCGCATGTATGTTTAGGCCAATGTGACTATTCTCCTCTGCTTACATGTAATTTAAATAAGCTTCAGCCGTTCCGTATCCAGCCTACTGAGAGACTACCTGGATGTCTTCTTCTAATGCATGCTGCTTGACGTTCGACAGTTCAGTTCAGGCAGTGCTGTCATGAGTTAAGCTGTTTATGTAGACTGATAAGTAATGTAAAGGTAAAGAGGAGGAAGGGCAAAAGAGGCAGGCTTATAGTATAGATTTTTGCTAAATACACATTTATTTTTCCATAGATATAAAGATTTTAGCATGTACAGTATTGCTGAGGTCATGCAAATGTATTGAAGCTTTATTGCTGCCCTGAGTGGCCCTTTAATCGTCTTATTATGGGTGACAACTCTGTGTCATCCACAGCTCTTCTGCAATGTGGAGGTTGTTAATGCCTTTTTTATCTTCTAATCTTCTAACGGATTTGAGAATTCCTCTTCATTATAAAAAGGAATGTGCTGACCGCAGTGTATAGTGATACACAATGAGGAAGTGCTGAAAGGCACATCCACATTCTTATTGCTGTGGCGCAAGGGAGGACCACAGCTGGTGCCTATACCTCACTTGTCATCACCAAAAGGGGGAAAGAGAATCCTTGTTAGAAAGGGCAGGTATATAGATAAATAAATAATAAAAAAAAAAAAATAGGTTGCGCCACAGTTAGCTAAACATAATACAGACTGCAAAAATGTACATACATATATTGAACAGAGCAAGGAAATATATATTACAAAAGTACAGATAGAGAATGGATAGGAGGAGGACCAGGTAGTCTTGCCGGTACTTGAATTTCGTGTGAATCTAAGTGGATTCTTGGACTTGAACTAGTCGAGTTTTCTCAGTGCAGGTTGGAATATGTGAACACAAAAAAAGAAACTCCAATAGTGTAGATGGCAAACAGGGCCGGACTGGGGATACAAAACAGCCCTGGAAATAAATCTATGCCAGCCTCATAAGTCATTGCGCCATATATTGTCACATGTAATATGTAAGGCAATGTCTTGCCACCCCAGAAGATTAAGTAAAATATATATATATTGCTTTTTCTAATATAAAATATTGGTCCTTTCAGAGTAAAATGTTTAATTATACAGTAAGCATACTCACATGCAGACACAGACAATCTCACTGACACACACAAGCTCATTGATACACAGCCTCATAGACAAACAATCTCACTGATATACATAAGCTCATTGACATAAAAACACAAGCTCACTCACTAGCAGGCGCACACACACATGCAAGCAAGCTCACTCACTAGCAGGCGCACACACACACAGCTTAATGTAGTGGTTCGGTTGTCTATAGCCTGTCCCTGCAGGCTTTTCAATGTAAACACTGACTTTTCAGAGACGGTAACTAGAGGTGCTTCCTGTGTCAGTGCTGCACAGTGTGCAGCACCTACATGCAGGGCCTTCATGCTCTGGAGGCGCTGAACGTTCCCCATAGAGATACATTGATTCAATGCATCTCTATGAGGAGATGCTGATTGGTGTAGCGTTTTGCAGCCAATCCTATGGAAAAGCATTGGAAAAACAAAAAGGTGAGTAACACTATTTTCAAACACACACAGACACACACATACACCATGACAGACACACACACCCCACGACACACACATACACCATGACAGACACACTCCTAACACACATATCATGACAGACACACACACACACACACACACCATGACAGACACACACACCTTGACACACACACACACACACACCATGACAAAGACAAACCATGACACTGACACACACGCCATTACACAAACAGACACCCACATCATGACACAGATAGACAGACACACACTCCATGACACAGACAGATACACACACTCCATGACAGACACACCATGACACAGACACACCAAGACACAGATAGACACACACCATGACAGACACACACACACCATGACAGACACACACACACACCATGACTACTGACCCCCCTCCCTTCCCCTAATACACTTCTGACCCCCCTCCCCTAATACACTACTGACCCCCCTCCCCTAATATACTACTGACCCCCTCCCTAATACACTGCTGACCTCCCTCCCCTCCCCTAATATATTACTGACCCCCCTCCCCTAATATACTACTGACCTTGCTCCCTTCCCCTAATACATTACTGACCCCCTTCCCCTAATACATTACTGACCCCCTTCCCCTAATACATTACTGACCCCCCTCCCATAATATACTACTGACCCCGCTCCCTTCCCCTAATACATTACTGACCCCTCCTCCCCTAATATATTACTGACCCCTCCTCCCCTAATACACTACTGACCTCCCTCCCCTAATACGCACCCCAACCCCTCCTAATACACTACCCCGAGCCCCCCCTCTCCCTAATACACTACCCAGCCCCCCTCTCTAATATACTACTGAGCCCTCCTCCTAATACACACTGACTGACCCCCTCCTAATACATTACTGACCCCCCCTCCCCTAATACACTACTGACACCCTCCCATGTACACTACTGAGCCCCCTTCCCTAGCCACTACTGACCCTCCTCCCCTATTACACTACCGAGCCTCCCTCCCCTAATACATTACCCCTGACCCCTCCCTCCCTAATACATTACGGCCCCTCCCTAATACCACTACTATTTGACCCCTCCCTAATACACTACTGACTGACCCCCTCCCTAATAACATTACTGACCCCCTCCCTAGTATACTACTGACCCCCTACCCTAATACACTACTGACCCCCCCTCCCTAATACACTACTGAAAGCCGGACCCCCCCTCCCTAGCCACACTACTGACCCCCTCTAATACACTACTGACTGACCCCCCTCCCCTAATATACTACTGACCCCTCTCCCCTAATACACTACTGACTGACCACCTCCCCCCAAATGCAATACACAATACAATAGGTCCCCCAAGCCCCTTTATTCTTACCTTTACAACAGTTCAAGGGTGCAGGAGGGAAGAGATTCTGCCGCGCAGCCGCCGGATGTGACGTCATGTCATCATATGCCGCTCACATCCGGCGGCTGACAGGAAGTATATGTGCGCTCGCTCAGCAAGCGGATCGCGCGGCCGCATAGACTAACAGGAAAAAACATTTTTTTTCCTGTCTTGTGGCTGAGTGCAGCCACATCTCAAAGCGGCCCCAGGGCTGGCGGCCTACCGGGAAATTTCCCGGTATCCCGGTAGGCCAGTCCGGCCCTGATGGCAAATGACCAGAAGAGACAAGATTCACAGTAATGTGGTATTTACACTCACCTATTGGAGAGCTAAAACTAGCTAAATTATAATTGGCATTCAGTGGCGTCGATCCCCCACTGGTAGGATATGAGTGATGATAGCCAAACGAAGGTCCTCGGTATTTGGAAGAAATAAAAACAAATATAGTGCTCACTGTGGTTTTAGCAAAGCAGATAAATGTAGAAACGTAAAGTACTCACATTTGAGTGAGCAGGAATATACTGCTCACTATCATAGGGTAGGTGGTACAATCCCCAACTAGGGATTCTTGGGCGGGTGACTGCTCCGAAGTAGCTGATGACCTGATTAAAAAATACAAAATAATTAAAAAAATTGTAGTTACAAACAAACAAAAAAATGAATAGAAAAGGTATGTGGCATATATAATTTAAAGGAATAGAAAAGATATGTGGCATATATAATTTAAATGAATAGAAAAGGTATGTGGCATATATAATTTAAAAAGCCAATATTCCTTTTTGCCATCTACACTATTGGAGTTTCTTTTTTTATGTTCACATATTCCAGCCTGCACCGAGAAAACTTGACTAGTTCAAGTCCAAGAATCCACTTAGATTCACACCAAATTCAAGTACCGGCAAGACTACCTGGTCCTCCTCCTATCCATTCTCTATCTGGACTTTTGTAATATATATTTCCTTGCTCTGTTCAATATATGTAAATAAATTTTTGCAGTCTATATTATGTTTAGTTAACTATGGCACAACCTATTTTTTTTTTTTTTTTGCTTTACCTCTCTGTTTTGAGCGTTTGTGAGGGAACCTCATATCCATAGGTTGCTGCCTTATACTTATTTCAGCTTTAGGTTGATCATACAAGCGCTGATCCAACATCTACTTTTTATATAGATAAATCAGTATTTTAAAGACAGAGTCTCATCAAACTAATTAATCCCGATGTGGAGCTGACATTTTCTGTAGCCCCTGTATTTAGGATGATATTGGTTCCTTTGTAGAACAATGCTGTTGTAAAAATCAGATTTTTGTATACTTTACAATGTTTATAATATAAAGTGAAAAGATCCAAAGTAGAAAAATTCTCTTAGTCAGCTATGCTCTCAGTACGGCTACTCTAACCTTAAATTTGCTTTCAGTTCACTTTTAATTCTCGAAATATAGAAAAGGTAGAAGAAATCGCGCCCAAAAATGATGTGCAGAAATGTATACGTACACAGGTCTTTTAAGGTTGTATACAAAGTTGGCCTTAAAGATAAAAAACAAAAAGTAATAATAGTACAGTACAGTATGTACAATGAATAAGTGATGAATACTCTTGAGTAGTGTTCACTCACATTTGATTGAGCTAACTCAGAGCTCAGCTGTATTTACGCATGGACGGAACAATCCCCGTCTAAGGATATATGATGATGTGGGTGTCCCAGATGTCTCAGATGAACTGCAGTATGCAGGACATATATAGGAGCAAGTACAAAAAATAAATACTCCAATGGTGAAGTAAGTACTGGTGAATATAAAATGAAAAAATATAATGTACTAACATTTACAAGAGCAGAACTTGCTCTAGTATATACAGCATGGGTGGTATAATCCCCACCTAGGAATATGATGGTGCCAGGAAGCAATGGATGGAAAAATTAATGTATAAATATAAAATATACTATTTATTTACCAAACAAAAAAAAAACTAAAAATATAGAATAACTTTAAGGAGACCCACTTTACGCGTTTCGCCTCTCCAAAGCTTCTTCAGAAGTGACAGTTTCTACTACCTTTTCCATATTTCACTATTCACAAGGTTTGGGAATCCTTGTACTAGTTATTGCAGCCCATACTCATCCTGTGTTATACTACAGTGAGCGCCTATTTCTTCCATTTGTCTACACTTGAGCGATTAACCCTGTAAATTCTATAGCATTTTCTGCATACATTAAAGCTGGTACAAAGTAACAAAATGTAGTACATTTAATCATTCAATCATTTACATTTTTATTGAGAAACATAGGTGTATAGCTTTTTTGTGAATGCATATTTTAAAAAATTTCATAATATGATTTCCAATCTATACTATAGAAAACTGCACAATTTGTTTTTTTTGCAATCGTTTTCAACATTTTTAAGTTATTTACTAAATGTGCATGATCTACTAAAAAACAACTACTTATAATTTGAATTGGTAACTCTCAGAACAAATACTGACATTGGTGCTTAAAGGGGCACTCTTCATACCTAAATCACTTAAGCTTGCTGAATTTTACAAAAAAGTGCATTTTAAAATAAATAAAGTATTTTCTTTTTATTACATTATTCCCTTAGATTAGTAGTTATTGTCTAAAATGTGAATTACGTTTATCAAGCAGAAGTGGTGGAGGTCAAACCAGTTATTTAGAGCTAGACTTCATATTCATAATTACACTCTCCCGCGAACCAAAAAGACTGTTTCACACATTTAACTCTTTTCTTTGCCCTGCTGTTCCTCCTCCACCTACTAATTTGACCACCTCAGACTTTGCAACTCACTTCACTGACAAGATCTCTACAATCAGAGAAGAGATCTCTTATATTTCTTCTTCCCCTTACAATACTTCCCGTAACTTCACTCCCTCTGCTGTTCTATGTTCATTCGCACCCGCTACATTGGAAGAGATTTCTGCTCTGCTCCACTCCTCCCGCCCCACCACCTGCTCCCTAGATCCAATTCCCTCGCATCTCATCCATACTCTGTCTTCTTCTCTTTCTCCACCTCTCACTAAAATTCTCAATCTCTCTCTCGCCTCTGGTATATTTCCATCACCCTTCAAACATGCAACTGTAAGAAGCCCAATCTTGACCCTAACTCCCCATCCAACTATCGTCCTATCTCGCTACTGCCTTTTGCATCCAAGATCCTTGGAAGAATTGTGTATGCGAGATTGACAGACTTCCTCGAGTCCAACTCTCTGCTAGACCCGCTTCAGTCTGGTTTCCGCGCTAAGCACTCTGTGGAAACGGCACTGACCAAAGTATCCAATGATCTACTCGCTGCAAAATCTTGTGGTCACTACTCTATCCTAATTCTCCTTGACCTGTCTGCGGCTTTTGACACTGTTGATCATCAACAGCTTCTTCTCATCCTCCGCAATATCGGTCTACAAGATATTGCTCTCTCCTGGTGCTCCTCCTACCTCTCCCAGCGCTCTTTCAGTGTTTCTTTCTCTGGCTCTACTTCTTCTCCCCAACTCCTCTCTGTTGGTGTCCCCCAAGGTTCAGTCCTTGGTCCCCTACTGTTCTCCATCTACACTGCCTCCCTTGGTAAACTCATTAGCTCCTTTGGCTTCCAATATCATTTCTATGCAGATGACATGCAAATCTACCTGTCCTCTCCTGATCTTTCCCCATCCCTCTTGACTAGTGTCTCTGACTGCCTCTCTGCTGTTTCTAACTGGATGGCTGCCCACTTCCTTAAACTAAACTTGACCAAAACCAAAATTCTGGTCTCTCCTCCTTTAAGTGTTGTTACTCCTGTGTCTGTCTCCCTCCAAGTCAACAGTGCTACCATAAGCTCCACCACGCAGGCTCGCTGCCTAGGTGTTCTCTTTGACTCCGACCTTTCCTTCAAGCCTCATGTTCAATCTATCGCCAAATCCTGTCATTTCCATCTCAAAAACATTGCGCGCATCCGCCCCTACTTAACGCCAGATGCGACTATGGTGTTGGTCCATTCCACTGTCCTTTCTCGCCTTGACTACTGTAATCCGCTTCTCAGTGGTCTTACGTGCTCCCAACTTGCACCGTTACCGTCCATAATGAATGCGGCAGCAAGGCTCATCTTCCTGTCCACCCACACCTCCCGTGCCTCACCCTTCTGTCAGTCCCTACATTGGCTTCCTATAAAATATAGAGCTCAATTTAAAATTCTGTTTCTTGATTTCAAATGTCTACATAATGCTGCTCCCACCTATCTATCCTCCCTTATACACAAGTATGTCCCTTTTATGCCCTTACCATCTGCTGAAGACTTACGTCTATCTTCTGTCCATATTCCCACCTCTGATGCTCTCCTTCAAGATTTCTCGAGGGCTGCACCATTCCTGTGGAACTCGCTTCCCTTCTTCATAAAAGCGTGTCAATTAAACTGTTAATAGCTCCTGACTGATTCCTCTTCTGCAACTGTCACTAGTCTAATACTATCCTTACCTTTTTGTGTCATTTTACCCCACTCCCTCTAGCATGTAAGCTCATTGAGCAGGGCTCTCAACCCCTCTGTTCCTGTGTGTCCAACTTGTCTGGTTACAACTACATGTCTGTTCGTCCACCCATTGTAAAGCACTGCGGAATTTGATGGCGCTATATAAATACCATAATAATAATAATAATAATATACATAACAGCGGCAGCACTTAATTTTTCCTTAATTTTGTGAATGCTTATGTATTTGCCCCCAGTCTCACCTTCGCTGACACTGCGGTTGGCACAGGGGGAGAATTCCTGTGCTGGACGTGTTGAATTATTCCACGAGGGAGCATGGGGATCAGTCTGTGATGATGGCTGGAATCGAGTCAATGCTGATGTAGTGTGCCGGCAGGCTGGATGTGGGAGCACTCTTCAGGCCATTGTTAGCTATGGACCGGGCAATGGCACAGTCCTTCTAGACGATGTAATTTGCAATGGAAATGAGCAAGAATTATGGCAGTGCACACATCGTGGGTGGTACATACATGACTGTGGAGCCCAGGAGCATGTAGGCGTGAAATGTGCAGGTATCTACTCTTGGTAAAAATATGTTTTATTTTTTATTTACCATAACAATAACTAAGATCACATTTCATTATTAGTTGTGAAATCTATAGAGATGTTGTGTTGTGGAGACAAGTGAAGAGCCTAATCATAGTTATAGTGGGATGTGAGGGCCACAAGTGCTTTAATGTAAAGGTGTGATTGCCTTAAATGGACTTTCTAAACGCCGGCATAGATTATGGACACAAAAAAACAATGAAGAAATTACTGCACAACCAAAAAGTGTGTATTGTAGATTTGTAACCAGTGAGAAAAACTGCATTACTTTAGACTTGTGCATTTGACTTTGAATTGCGATTTGTCAGACTTTTATGCAAATGCCGGTTCTTTAGAATTCCTTTACTCTGAAACGCTATATGAACTAATCCCCATAATAATGAAAAGGACAGCAGACGACCAGTTTCTTCTCATTCATGATTTCGAGTAAGGTGGCGCCAATCTAGAGATAGTTAATAGGATAAAGTAATTAATGGTTAGGGGACAGCCATTAAATCTTGGTTTTATTCCCTGATCAATGGAGACGAAAAAAAATTATTTTATATTACATATTTTATATCTAATAAATATTTAATTATAGATAAAAAGTTTTAACTGTTCTTTCTTATTTTCTCTCAGTTGGATACTTCTCACTTGATCTGCTAACCGTTTGAGAGGAAAATGTTCCTATAAGTGCACTGCAAAATATATTTATAGGAACAATGATTAGCCAATTTACGTGCCTTTTGATTTGTTGAAATAATTTTTCTCAAAATGGTTGCATGGATGAAATTAGTTTGACTCAAAACACAAATCACAAATTGACTGACACAATTTTTTTTTGTCCGGATGAATCAATTCATCTGGATTTTTTTTTTCCCCATGTAAAAATTCAGCTTAATGAATCAGTTTTGGCATATATATAATACATTTTTTGTCCTAATGAATCAATTCAGCCAAACCAAATTTTTTTTTTCACATGTACAGCTTCAGCTTAATGAAGCAGTTTTGGGAAATAGATTATACCCTTACAGTATCACATCTAAATTATCTGCCATTTAGATGTTAAATAACTTTGTCTATAGGGTTCTAATCACACCTCCCTGCTTGTGACCTTCACAGCCATCCTAAATACTTCCTACAAAGAGAGATCTAATGTTTACAGGAGCCTCCTGTGTGTGATTAAAGTGCAATTTACAGAGGAGGAGATAGAAACTTTTAAAGCAGGTTAGCGTCTATTTGAAAATGAAATCAATTTTCTCATGCAGGTTGTGTGAGTCACAACCAGGGGAGGTGTGGCTAGGGCTGCATAGCAAAGTGATTTAACTCCTAAATAGCAGAGAATTGAGCAGGGGAATGATCTATACACACAAACTACTCCATTAAGCTAATGATTTGATGCCTAAAGAATCCATTTAAAAAGTATCACATCTCATGTTCACGCAATTGCATAATTATAGAAGCGTGAACTGGTGCAACCAGATAACTTTGTTCTTCTAGCAGTACCATTAAAATGTGAAGTGTAATATTTTGTGTGTTTTTACCAACAGTTCCCGGACTTTCAGAATCCAGTAATTCTGGTTAGTACATGGTTAATATCGCAAATACCAATGATTGGGCTTTGATGTTAGAGAGCAATATATAAACACTAATTTGTGAGACAAAATAAATCAATGATATTACGTAAAAAAGTGATATCCCAGGTGTACCTTACAACAACACCCAAAATAGTACAGACAATAAAGAATGTGGGAAAAATCACAATACACATAGAAAAAGGAAAATAACAACCTGGAAAGGTAAATGTAGAATACTCCACTAATATATAATGGTATCTGAAAAATCATAAAAAATACATAGCGTAATACAGTAACACGAAACCCCCCAGTGAGTATAAATTAAAAAACTCACAAACAAACAAAAAATTCAGGCTCATCAGCCTTCCAAGGGTACTGGATTGTGAAACTTCTATGTATAATGTTTTTTAACAGAAATGAGGAGGCTACAATAGTGAAGTAAAAATACAATAAATATCTAATTGTCTTTTTTTACGTCACTGTTGTGGCCTTCTTTCCTCCTAATAAGAAACATTATACATAGAAGATCCAGTACCCTTGGAAGGGTGATGAGCCTGAATTTTTTGATTGTTTGTGAGTTTTTTACTTTATACTCACTGGGGGGTTTTGTGTTACTGTATTCATAGAACGAATTGGTCGGTAAGTGAGGAGTTAAGGGATTCCCTGCTCTGGTGCGCTTGTCTATGTTCAGGGAAATTTCCCCAAAACATAGATTAGAGGGATTCCCTGCTGTGTTGTGCATGTCTGTGTTCACGAACATTTCCCAGAACATAGAAGAATGCACAAGAGCAAGGAATCTTTCTAATATATGCTTGGGGAAATGTCCCTGAACATAGATGAACACAGCAGATCAGGGAATCCCTCTAATTCCCACGATGGCTCGCACTTACCACCCAGCGAGAGAGCTGGTCGTAAGTGCAAGCTGTCGTAAAACAGATAGGTTGCAAAACGCGGACCACCTGTACTTCCAAATTACTCTGTTGGAAGTAATCACTTCAGCTGATTTCTCTTTCCTAAGTTATTTGCATTTATTATTTACTGGAGTCTAAAATACTGTGATATTTAATCCTAATCAGGATCAACTTTACAGGGAGTGCAGAATTATTAGGCAAGTTGTATTTTTGAGGATTAATTTTATTATTGAACAACAACCATGTTCTCAATGAACCCAAAAAACTCATTAATATCAAAGCTGAATATTTTTGGAAGTAGTTTTTAGTTTGTTTTTAGTTTTAGCTATGTTAGGGGGATATCTGTGTGTGCAGGTGACTATTACTGTGCATAATTATTAGGCAACTTAACAAAAAACAAATATATACCCATTTCAATTATTTATTATTACCAGTGAAACCAATATAACATCTCAACATTCACAAATATACATTTCTGACATTCAAAAACAAAACAAAAACAAATCAGTGACCAATATAGCCACCTTTCTTTGCAAGGACACTCAAAAGCCTGCCATCCATGGATTCTGTCAGTGTTTTGATCTGTTCACCATCAACATTGCGTGCAGCAGCAACCACAGCCTCCCAGACACTGTTCAGAGAGGTGTACTGTTTTCCCTCCTTGTAAATCTCACATTTGATGATGGACCACAGGTTCTCAATGGGGTTCAGATCAGGTGAACAAGGAGGCCATGTCATTAGATTTTCTTCTTTTATACCCTTTCTTGCCAGCCACGCTGTGGAGTACTTGGACGCGTGTGATGGAGCATTGTCCTGCATGAAAATCATGTTTTTCTTGAAGGATGCAGACTTCTTCCTGTACCACTGCTTGAAGAAGGTGTCTTCCAGGAACTGGCAGTAGGACTGGGAGTTGAGCTTGACTCCATCCTCAACCCGAAAAGGCCCCACAAGCTCATCTTTGATGATACCAGCCCAAACCAGTACTCCACCTCCACCTTGCTGGCGTCTGAGTCGGACTGGAGCTCTCTGCCCTTTACCAATCCAGCCACGGGCCCATCCATCTGGCCCATCAAGACTCACTCTCATTTCATCAGTCCATAAAACCTTAGAAAAATCAGTCTTGAGATATTTCTTGGCCCAGTCTTGACGTTTCAGCTTGTGTGTCTTGTTCAGTGGTGGTCGTCTTTCAGCCTTTCTTACCTTGGCCATGTCTCTGAGTATTGCACACCTTGTGCTTTTGGGCACTCCAGTGATGTTGCAGCTCTGAAATATGGCCAAACTGGTGGCAAGTGGCATCGTGGCAGCTGCACGCTTGACTTTTCTCAGTTCATGGGCAGTTATTTTGCGCCTTGGTTTTTCCACACGCTTCTTGCGACCCTGTTGACTATTTTGAATGAAACGCTTGATTGTTCGATGATCACGCTTCAGAAGCTTTGCAATTTTAAGAGTGCTGCATCCCTCTGCAAGATATCTCACTATTTTTGACTTTTCTGAGCCTGTCAAGTCCTTCTTTTGACCCATTTTGCCAAAGGAAAGGAAGTTGCCTAATAATTATGCACACCTGATATAGGGTGTTGATGTCATTAGACCACACCCCTTCTCATTACAGAGATGCACATCACCTAATATGCTTAATTGGTAGTAGGCTTTCGAGCCTATACAGCTTGGAGTAAGACAACATGCATAAAGAGGATGATGTGGTCAAAATACTCATTTGCCTAATAATTCTGCACTCCCTGTATTTTATTACTGCTGAAGTCTATATTCTCTGTAAAGCAATCCCAATCAGGATCGATCTTTGCTTATGCATTATTACTTTTGATTTATATTGCTGCAGAGGACTATTAAACTGGAATTACCAAAATTCAATAAATATATATACTTTCGTAAAGTGACGGTATCAAATTTATTTTTTCACCTGCAGTTGTGTTCCAAATGAAGTTATTCTAAAAGTATTACACATAGTTATTTGTGGTAGCAGGGTAAAGGTTACTAGATATAGTTAATTTATCCTGATTATACAGCAGCAAATACTCATATTTTGCTCATAAAAAAAGGCAAATCTGATAATGACAATATATTGATGGAATAAAATAATTATTATCTGTTATAAAGGGTGTGACAAAAAAATGAATAAAATAAAAAACAATTACTAAAATCTTATGAGGTTAGGCATCTAACGTGGAGATCTGCTTTGCTTTAATTCTTCTAACATGTTTCTATGTTTTTAAAAATATGCGTTGACAAAATAAATAATTGAAGACACTAACAAATATTCTGCATTATTTCTTCTAACATGGATCTATGTTTTTAGCAGTCCACGTAGAGCTGCGCCTATCTGCTGGTTGGAACCGATGTGCAGGTCGCGTGGAGGTGTATTATAACAACAATTGGGGCACAGTGTGTGATGATTTGTGGGACCTCAATGATGCCCATGTTGTGTGCAGACAACTAGGCTGTGGAACAGCTACATCTGCTCTTGCCCTGGCATATTTTGGTCAAGGAAATGGGAGCATTTTTCTGGACGATGTGGCTTGTGTTGGTGATGAATCTCTCCTTGCGCAATGTAACCACAGAGCTTGGGGTGTGCACAATTGCATACACAGTGAAGATGCAGGGGTGATTTGTTCAGGTATCTGTTTATTTCAAAATTATTACATTGTATATTTGTCTGTCTGTCTGTCTCTCTCTCCTCCTCTCTCCTTAAACATTGATCAGCCACAAAATTAAAACCAATGACTGGTGAAGTGAATAACATGAATGTATCATTACAATGGCACCTGTCAAGGGGTGGGATATATGAGGTAGCAAGTGAACAAACAGTTCTTGAATTTTAAGTGTTAGAAGCAGAAAAAATGGAAAAGCAAAAAGATCTGAGTGACTTTGACATAGGCCACATACTGATGGTTGGATGAATGGGTCAGAGCATCTTCAAAACACTAAGTCTTGTTCCTGGTATGCAGTGGTTAGGATCTACCAAAAATGGTGCAAGGGAAGAGAACTGGTGAGCCAGCATCAGGGACATTGGGTCCCAAGGTTTATTGAACCATGTGGAGAGTGCAGGCTAGCCCATTTGGTCCAATCACACAGAACCACCTCGCAACTTGCAGGACTTAAAGGATCTGCTGCTAATGTCTTGGTGCCAGATACCAAAGGACATGTTGAAAGGTCTTGTGGACCATCCGATTGCCTCCACAGAACATGTTTCCACTGTTCCAGAGTCCAGTGGCGGTGTGCTTTACACCACTTGATCCGATGCTTAGCATTGTGCTTGGTGATGTGATGATTGCATGCTGCTATTCAGCCATGAAAACTCATTCCATGAAGCTGCTGCCACACGTTTTTTGTGCCGATATTAATAAGCAAAGATTTGGAGCTTTTCAGCTATGGAATCAACAGATCATTGGCAACTTTTACTCACCATGCGCCTCAGCACTTGGTGACCCTGCTCTGTGACTTTAAGTGGTCTTCCGATACATGGCTGAGTTACTGTTGTTCCTAAATGCTTCTGCTTTCCAATAATAACACTTAGAGTTGACCATGGATTAACTAGCAGGAATGACATTTCATGAACTGACTTATTGCAAAAGTAGCATCATACCACAGTAAAACACTTGAATTCACTGAGCTCTTCAATAGGACCCATTTTACCCCACAAATGTTTGTAAATGCAGACTGCATGATTTTATAACATGTGGCAATGAGTATGATTCAAACACTGAATTCAGTAATTAAGGAGGAGTGTCCCAATACTTTTGTCCATATACATATAATTTTCTTTGATTTAGATTAAAACTTTGTTACAGACGTTTATTAATTTTTATTTCTTTAAAAATAAATAATGTAATTGAGAAGAAACTTGAGATAAAAAAATGAAATAATTGTTTAGGAACATTAAAGGTACATATGTATTTGTAATGGAAAAAAGAAAAAATAATAAATCAGATAAAGACATTGATTGATGACCTTGACATAATAAGCTTTCCGATTGATTCAGTCCTGTTAATAAACATTTGGAATGCTTATTAAATCAAGGTCTGTTTAATGGGCATTACTGTTTCCTGTGCAAAGTCCTAATTCTTTTAGTTGAAGCGTCTATGCTTTAGTTATGAATAATCCAATTCACTAGAGGCCATTCCTTGTGTGAACTGAAACCTTTTTAATGGAAGTTTTAGAAGACGTTTAAACAAATATAATCTAATACTGAACTCTCATCCTTTCAATTTTGTTTCGTCTTTTAGCTGCTGGATCCCCACCATCAGCACCTTCAGGTAATGGAATGTTCTGCTCTAGTCAGTATAGTGTTAGCATTTATGGTATAGGTTTTGGACAAATTCTTCCTTCACCCCTTTTGTATCCTCAGTGCCAGACTATAACATTTTGTTACAAAAAAAAAAAATCTAAAATGTCCTCCCATTTATTTTGTAGGTTCAACTCCACCAGTAACAGCAAGGCAAACTATTGCAGGTGGGTGATGATTATTTTGTAATGGTGCAGGTCATCTGACAGCTATTTTGTGTGCCTCCTTACTTATTTCTCCAGGACTCTTCAGCGTGTTGTCTATAATTCTGGTCATTGGTCCTTTTGGATCACAACCAAGGCTTTGGTTTTAAAAAACTGTGTTTAACACAGTGCTCCATTTCTAAGGATGGAGTCTGAAACACAATGTCTGTCTGTGCTCATTTGCATGTTGAGCTTAGCATTCTGGGAACATTAATTTTCAGAATTGCTTTACCCCTTCTAATGCTTTCATGCAAAGAGCATGTCCCCCTAATTAATAGATAGCAATGCCATACAAACACTTTTACAGCCCTCCATTCCACTCATCTATATCATCCTGTTTATCCTGTTTATCGGCCTAATTCTAAGGTTTACATGCTGTAGTAATCTGTATAATGTACCAATGTATTTTGTACTTCTTGACTGTTCAAATTAAGGACTAACAATTATATTATGTAAAAATCTGTCAGTTTTGGCACTGTTAAACAAATGTTAAGTAAATACATTGACAATAGTGTAGAAATGGCTTTTGTTGGAACAAACACAAACACAACATATGTGTATGTGCTCAAACAGAGAAAGAAAAAGTGTAAAGGAATTCACAGTGAAGAAATTTAAAAATAGTAAAATTTGAATGTTTTTTTTCTGTTTGAAAATTAGAATAATAACAAAATTGGATAATGCAGCTTTCTTAATTAGAATAATTGGACACGCTTCTTTGACTGACAAATGTTATTTATAATGGGGCCAAACACCATTCTCATGAACCTTTTTAAAGCTACAGGTAAGATAGATGCATTGTGTTGCTGTCTGCAGCCAAAGCCAAAACAGTTTAACTTTGAGTGCAAATTTTTGGTTACATAGACCCCAACACTTGTTTTTATTTATTTTTGGCAAAAATAAAAAAATAGATTTGGCATAGTTTGGCATAGTTTGGCATAGTTACTGCCATAGTTACTGCATCTAAAAACAAAGATGTATTACTATTTGGTGCTATAATTACAGACTTACTCCAGTTTTTTTTTCTCATTCTAGTGTAAAATCCGCACTTACGCTGAGAAAATAACTACAGTAAATTCTGTGTGTAATTGCTGTGCATATATGAAATAAATTTAAGTGATCTCTTCATTGTGACCTTGTATGTGCTGAATTTTCCCTCCTCTACAATAGGTTTAGAAGGACTTTTTGGTTTGCGTCTTGCGGATGGAAGTAGCCGGTGTGAAGGACGCCTTGAAGTTTTCTACCTAGTGACGTGGGGAACAGTTTGTGATGACTTTTGGGATGTGAGAGCAGCCATGGTTGTGTGCAAGCAGCTAGGCTGTGGGGTGCCTGTTTCTACGATTGACCAAATGCAATTTGGCAGAGGGTCTGGACCAATCTTACTGGACGATGTGACTTGTAGGGGTACAGAGTCCTTTCTGTGGCAGTGTCCCCACAGAGTGTGGGGCATTCATAACTGTGATCACAGCGAGGATGTCATTGTGGTTTGCACAGGTAATAAGGCATCTGTCTGGCTGTTCATTTCCTGTACCTTAATTTGTGGGTGAAAAGGTGAATTTAAACACCTTAATATTGGGTTTAACACTCTAGTAGATACATGTTTGTGTGCCTGACACTATAGTGTTCCTTTAACTTGCAATTCACCCATTTTCTCTAAATATTACCCCTTATTGCCTGGCAATTATCCCTCTCCATATGCCAAGATTATATTTCCATAATTGCACCCGACCCCCAAAGACATAGGAACAAATTCACACGGAAACTGACTCTCAGACACTGCACTTAGACTTGTAGTCTTGCAAAAACAAAGAATGGAAGAATGGAATTATAAGAATGGAAAATTAAGTAATGGATTCCATCATTTTATAGATGTGTCCACCCTTCCTCAGTCCCCATAACTCCTTGTTTCTTGAAGTTTGGAAACCAGTTAAAGTATTGTTTTAGCTATCACATTTTTTTATATTTATCTTGTGCATTTATTTTTTTTTTTCACCTGTTGGATCCTCGCCAAAAACATCTCAAGGTAACGTAAAGCTCTATTCTATTGCGTAAGGTATATATACATAATTATCATTAGTTTCATCCAAACTCCTTCCTTCACCGTTCTTGCTTTTATAACCTCTATTGCATTCTTAGTGCCACACTGAAACGTCTTGTCGCAATGAACTCATTAAACTATTCTTCCTTACTTATCACAGGTTCAAGTCCAGCCGTCATAACAAAGAGAAGTACAGCAGGTAGATGATGATAAAATAAACAAGTCAAATTATTATCTACACTATGTGAATGCAATGATGTAACAATAATGATGATAAGAATGGGAGATAACAAAACCCCCAACCACAAGGAAAAATAAGAATAAAAAAAATGTACAAATGACCTGCCTAAAATACTTGGATGTGGTAGGGGTAAATTTTAATTGATATTAATTACAAAAAGATGCATTAAAAATTTTTCGTCAATCAATTTTTATTGAGGCAAAGTTCTAGTTTGCAGTATGGCATTTGTGAAATCTGCAAGTCCTCCCTGTAAGGATGTCCACACACAAGCCCTGTTCTCTTCACTTACTAGTTGACTAAAACCACCGTGTCTGGACGAGACTGAGATATAAATGTTCAACCTGAAAGGAAATCCTATGGCAGGGCTGCCAATGCATATACCTTGATTTTAATATTTACTTTAATAATTGTTGCCACATTTGTTTGTAATATCTTCATAGCCCTGTTAAACCTAGGATCTCTCTAGTTTAGGGGGGCTGCCTCAAAGCAGCAGGGGGAGGTGTCGCTAGTCTTAGGATTTATACCGGTACCTTTTCCACCTTTCAAGTTTGGCTGACCCTCCCATTCCTTCTTTAAATTTCCTGTGCGTCCACTTTTATTTTACACACGGATCTCTTTTGAGGTCTATAGCACATTGGTAATGGGGTTGACCTAGATAGCCCTGTAATCAGGGCTGTAGTGGCCAGAGTGCTAACCGTACTGCTTATGATCATCCTCTCCTACCCACCCACGTACGTCTAGATAAAGATCCTAATCGAAGGGGTCACTACTGGGCTATGCTGTATTGATATGCGAGAGGATTACTACCTTTGATCTAAAATACTTGACAGTCTCTCTCTATTCCCTTGTTATGTCCAGACCTGATCTAATACCCATATCCCGATACTGCTAACGAGATCACAGGAGGTCTATTGTACTTCACAAACATCTTAGATTTATTTTTATCACAGATTCGAAGGACACTCTTACAAACAGTTTATTAGCTTGTCTGTCTGTCTGTCTCTACACTGGAATGTATGTATTAGAATTGTTCTTCAACATATTTATCTGTTTAAAAAAAAGTTTATATGTATGTCGTAGTGTATGTTTATATGTGCATATATCTCAGCATTCAAATACTAGTACAATATGCAAACACACCGCTGCAATCAAACACAAACATTGCATAAAGACACACCCCTGCATTCAACCTTAAAAATTATGTACAAACACACCCAGTCATCATTCAAACACCACCACTACTACTCACATATGTGCACCCGCATTTAAAAGCAACATTACATACAAACACACTCCTTTAATCAAATGTAAACATTACTTACATACACACTGCTGTATTAAAATTTTAACCCCTTAAGGACGGAGCCAAATGTACACGTTGTGAACGAAACAAAATGTAAACAAAACCTGGCATTTGCGCTACATGTCTGTCCAACTGTAATTCACCTATTTCATAGTAAATGCACCCACCCTTATTATATATCATTTTATTCAGGGGAAACAGGGCTTTCATTTAATATCAAATATTTAGCTATGAAACATAATTTAATATGAAAACAATGGGAGAAAATAAGATTTTTTTAAAATTTTTTAGTTCTACATGACATTTTAACTGTCAATGTCATAATACTGTTTGCTTTTACTGCAATAAAATACACATATTTGTATTCAGCAAAGTCTCACGTGTAAAACAGTACCCCCTATGTACAGGTTTTATGGCGTTTTGGGAAGTTACAGGGTCAAATATAGCATGTTACATTTGTAATTGAAATTCGCCAGATTGGTTACGTTGCCTTTGGGACTTTATAGTAGCCAGGAATTAAATTTACACCCATAATGGCATACCATTTGCAATAGTAGACAACCCAATGTATTGCAAATGGGGTATGTCCAGTCTTTTTTAGTAGCCATTTGGTCACAAACACTGGCCAAAGTTAGCGTTAGTATTTGTTTGTGTGAAAAATGCAAAAAAACGCCAATTTGGGCCAGTGTTTGTGACTAAGTGGCTACTAAAAAAGACTGGACATACCCCGTTTGCAATACCTTGGGTTGTCTACTATTGCAAATGGTATGCCATCATATGGGTAATTTTCATTCTCGGGCTACCATAGGGTCTCAAAGGCACCGTAACCAATCTGGAAAATTTTAATGTGAAAAAAATGAAACACAAGCCTTATATTTGACGCTGTAACTTTTGAAAACACCATAAAACCTGTACATGAGGGGTACTGTTGTACTCGGGAGACTTCGCTGAACAAAAATATTTGTGTTTCAAAACAGTAAAAAGTATCGCAGCAATAATATCGTCCGTGTAAGTGCTGTTTGTGCATTAAAAATGCAAAAAACATCACTTTTACTGGCGATATCATCGTTGTAATACATTTTACTGTTTTGAAACACTAATATTTGTGTTCAGCGAAGTCTCCCGAGTAGAACAGTACCCCCCATGTACAGGTTTTATGGTGTCTTGGAAAGTTATAGGGTTAAATATAATGCTAGCAAATTAAATTCCCTTTACTTTCGGCATGGGTTGTCAGGCAGGTCCCGCTAATTGTAATTAATTAAGATACCTAATTATGTAAAAATATTAAATAAATATATATGTAGAATTAATATATGTATATATATATATATATACATATGTGAATCTATATTTGTATATCTATATAATTTTTAAAAAATATTTTTATTTATATATAGGTATATATATAGTGATATATACGTATATATTTATGTATGTAGATATATATATTATTTCGTTCTACGTGTATTTTGATATAAATATATATATATTAATATCACAATGCAGTTAGAATGAAATAACACACATCTATATATTTTTTTATTAATTTTTTAAAATTATTTTTTAAATTTTATTTTTTACCGTATTTACATATTTAATTTTTGTATATTATATATAAATATATATATAACAATAATTATATATATTTAATCAGTATCAGTCTACGTGTAATTTGATATTAATATATATATATATAATTATATATATATTAATAGTAAAATACACCTAGACAGTGTACGTGTGTGTATGTATATATATATATATATATATATATATATATATATATGATCTAAGTATATATTTATTTATTTTTACACTAATAAATTTAATTTTATTTTTATTTTCAGCCAGCAGGGGGACCACCTGTCATTACATTGCTGGCAATGCAGGAGGCAGCTACCCCCGGCCATGTGATTGTGGGGTCCTCGCTAGGACCCCACTATCACATGGCCGGGGGTCACCGGAGGAGAAGGATTTGCCGCGGGGGGGCTCCCTGGGAGTCCCCCCCACCACGATCGCCAGCGTGGGACCGCCGGCGACCGGGTAAGTTAACAAAAACCGGAGGGCGTACAATTATGCCCGGCGGCTTTTAGAGCCGCCTAAAATAGGGCGTAATTGTACGTCCTCCGGTCTAAAGGGGTTAAAAGTATATACAAACACCAACACTACACACAAAAGCAAACCTGCATGTAACAGCCAACACTACATTCACACACACTTCTGCATTCAAACATAAACACTACACACAAGTACATCACTGCATTCCATTGGTAATAGTACACACAAATACAACCCTACATGCGCACACACACACACTCTATGCAAACAATGCTCACAAATACAACCCTTTAAGGATGGGCAAATGGTAAATTCCCAGCTGGCATAGCATCATGGGAGTTTGACAGATGGGGATCTAGCTTTGTGGTAGAGGGGTGTCCAAATCAATTCTTGCACCAGGGCTCACTCTGCATTAGTTCCGCCACTGATTTAGTGTTAGCAGGGGGCTGAATTGTAGATAGTCTTCCTTCATAATTGTAGAAAGTTAAAGGGATGGTGATGGTGCCAGAATCCTCCAGGGAACTCCTAACAGCAAAACCACTACAGTGGACTACAGTGGTTATGGTGTTTGCAGTAAACCTTTAGTTAATGAATGTGAACTGAAACCCAATATTTTATCTGGTCTCCATCAACAACATCTTCAGGTAACCTCATATTCAATTTTGTAATGTATTGCGTAATAGCTTGTTTTTGTCTGTGTTTCGTCCTTTACCTTTGTTGGTCCAATACTTTTCATTGCATCCTTGTTTCTAGCCTAAAACCTCTTGTCAAAATGAAATCGTATAATTTTGTTTTCTCATAGGTTTACCTTCTACCATCACAGCAATAAGAAACAGAACAGGTGTGTCATGCTTATTTTGTCAAATATGTCGTCATCAAAATACACTGTCTGAAAGCAGAAAATTCCCCATGCTGAATGTTTTAGAACAGAACCCTAAAAGGTGCTATGCATTAATTCTACTAGCTTGTATGGGCGTTGCTGGGGGTCACCTGAGCGTGAGCCCCGAGTAGAGTCATGAAAAGCACTAAATCTGACTTTCATTGTTAGACCAGAATCAACTTACATTTCTCCTGTCCTGGGTTGTATACTCTGGAGCGAAGGGACACCGTGCCTGCTGTTGTCCACTGTGGTGGACTTAGTGGGGCCTAGCGAAAATATTGGGCGGGAGAGGTGGCCGCTCTCCCACTCCACGAAGGTCTGGAACCTCACAGAATCCTTCTGCTGCCCCGTTTCCCCCACCTTTGGACCGACAGGGGTCATCCCAATCCACATCAAGGAGGCCTTATTGCCGAATCTATCTGCTGATGAGGGCCGATCCTCCTGAGAGTCTGTGTGACGCTGTAATGGCAGCTGCCATGTGCTCACCAGTCCTCAATGGTGTGCAAACCCTCACTGACCTGCATTTCATCTCTGCCGATTTCTGGAAACAGCTGCACAATCCCATGCCCAGCCCTCAGAAAGAGCCGACAGGCGGATTGCCTCTGCAGTTGTGGAGTGTGGTGTTGGAGGGGCCAGCAATTACAGCCCTCAAAGGGGCCCAGCAATAGTGGTGGAACCAAGCATCTCCCCAGAAGGACTAGGCTACATCCAGACAACCTTCCAATGAGGATCCTCGGTGGCATTGTATAGGACTGGATCAGATGCCTGTAATATCGGAGGGCCTCTTTAGGCAGCCACTAGGCACACCACACAACCCTGTAGGGTCACAACTCACTAGCCTGTCTGGCTAAGAGGGGGAGAGGGTACACCCATGGAGGAAATACTATCTTTCCCTGTAGCAGAACACTGACTCATTTTTATTTCTGTATCGTTTTCATCAGGGACACTATAGTCACCTGAACAACTTTAGCTTAAAGAAGCAGTTTTGGTGTATAGTACATGCCCCTGCAGCCTCACTGCTCAATCCTCTGCCATTTAGGAGTTAAATCCCTTTGTTTATGAACCCTAGTCACACCTCCCTGCATGTGACTTGCACAGCCTTCCATAAACACTTCCTGTAAAGAGAGCCCTATTTAGGCTTTCTTTATTGCAGGTTCTGTTTAATTAAGATTTTCTTATCCCCTGCTATGTTAATAGCTCGCTGTACCCTGCAAGAGCCTCCTGTATGTGATTAAAGTTCAATTTAGAGAGTGAGATACAATTATTTAAGGTAAATTACATCTGTTTGAAAGTGAAACCATTTTTTTTTCATGCAGGCTCTGTCAATCATAGCCAGGGGAGGTGTGGCTAGGGCTGCATAAACAGAAACAAAGTGGTTTAACTCCTAAATGACTGAATTGAGCAGTGAAATTGCAGGGGAATGATCTATACACTAAAACTGCTTTATTTAGCTAAAGTAATTTAGGTGACCATAGTGTTCCTTTAAGTTTATATGTCTCTTGGTGTTTAACCAGCTACTAGACCATGGCAGAGCCTCCTTGGTGGGCACAAGTATTCTTGTGCAATAAGCCTGCAAACTTGTATTACGCTTGTGCACTTTCACTCTCTCTGTCCTTGGTACTTCACTGACAATGCAAGAATCTAGTTTCATAACCTTTATACCCTAGGACACAATGTTTAACTTGTTTATTCAGCATATTTTAAAGAAAAAAAAAAGAAAAAGTGCAACAATCCACCCAAAATTTAAAAGGAAAAAATTGCCCATGATGTATATTATTATTATTGGCATTTATGTAGCCCCAACAAATTCCGTAGCGCTTAAAATATTATTGGTGGAGAAGATTTAACAATAAATGAGACAATTACCAAATCTTATAGGAACGATATGTTGAAGAGGATCCTGCTCAAACAAGCTTACACACTAGAGGATATGAATGTGTGTGCATGCCTGTGAATTGGGACGTTCGGTAATACCTGTTCATACCTATGTATTCATTTTTACCATCAGCCCCTAAAAATATAAGCTGCATATATTATCTTTTTGTGTCTTTAATATCTTCCTTTTCTTTTGTTATTTTCAGGATGAGTATCAAAAAAAACCTGTGAAAGATGATTTACATATCGTGACACAACACTTCATCTCTAGAGATTTGTAACTTTTCATCTTCAATCTTCCAATTATCAGTATAACGTTTTACAAGTTACATTTTTAATGAGGCACAGAGGAAATATTGCTTGCCCACTAGACATATATAAATAGAGCAAAACGATAGAGAACCAGTTGTAGAAAAGAATGTTGGTATTGGTGTTGTATTGGACAGATTTCTGTATTAAAATGTACTGTAGGTCATTATTACATTAAATATACTGCCATATAAAAAATGAAATAAAAACCATTTTGTTCCTGAATGCAGCGCACTTTAAGGGACCATATTTCTTGATCTTGAATTGATGTAACACAAACTTATTAACTGGAAATTTTCAAATAAATAATGCCAGAATCTAGGTTATTTGGGGTTAAGGACAATAATGTGTCTTTTTTTTCTTCTTTATAAACATGACACTTGTGCTAATTATTGTCTAGAACAGCATTTCTCAATTGTTGTTCCGTGGAATCCCAGGGTACAGAGAACACAAATGGGGTTCCACCGCAATTTCAGGAAACAAAATGGCTGCAGCGATAATTGCGGACGGAGAGGGAGCACTCTCCTCTGCTCAGCTCCCTCGCACACACAGCAGTGATGCCGAATCCAGAATATGACGTCACTCTGGCCCCGGCATCACCAAGAGGCCTGCGAGGGAGCTATGCTGGAAGATCACTGCTCCCTCGCCACCTGCACTGTATGCCCGCACTCCAGTCGCTCAGCCCAGCAGCACCACTGGACCTCAGGGAAATAGAGACTCAATGCCAGCACTCCCAAAGGTAGGGAGGATGGGTGGAGTGAAATTTAAAAAAATAAATAAATTGTGTTTGTCTGTTAAGGAGTTTGTGTGTGTGTTTGTCACTGAGAATGTATGTGTGTTTGTCAGTGAATGTGTATGTGTGCTTGTCAGTGAGAGTGCATGTGTGCTTGTCAGTGAGTGTGTATGTGTTTGTCAGTGAAAATGTATGTGTGCTTGTCAGTGAGAGTGTATATGTGTTTGTATGTGTGTCTGTCAAAGAGTATGTGTATTTGTCAGTGAGTGTGTATGTGTACTTGTCAGTGAGAGTGTATGTGTGCTTGTCACTGAGAGTGGAAGTGTGCTTGTCAGTGAGAATGTATGTGTGCTTGTTAGTGAGAGTGTATGTCAATGAGTATGTTTGTCTGAGTGTGTGTCAGTGTGTGTATTGGTGTGTGTGTGTGTGTGTGTGTGTGCCATTGTATATCAGTGTGTTTCTATGTGCCTATGTGTGTGTGTATGTCAGTGTGCGTAAATGACACTGTGTGTATGTGTCAATGTGTGTATCTGAGTGTGTGTATGTGCAAGTGTGTGTATCTGTGGGTACAAGTGTTTGTATATGTCACTGTGTGTATCTGAGTGTGTGTGTACTTGTGAGTCAAGATGTGTGTATGTGTAACTATGTGCATCTGAATGTTTGTATCTGTGAGTCAAGGTCTGTGTGTCTGTGTTTGCATGTGCCGGTGTGTGTCAAGGTGTGTGTATCTGTGTGCCACTATGTGCCAGTGTGTGTATCTGTGTGTTAGATACATACACACACACAGATACACACACTGGCACATACAAACACAGATACACACACCTTGACACACACCGGCACATGCAAACACAGATACACACACCTTGACACACAGATAAATACAGAGACACACACACAGATGCACCTCTGCATGCATGCTGCGAAAGCAACCAGAGTGGTGCGAAACGCATCCATGGCTTCTCTAATCTTTCTTTAGGGTTGGTTTCTTTGGTGTTGTCTCCCCTGTACAGCAGCTGCGTTTGGTCCTATGCTCAGGTTTTGGACTTTTTATACTTTGTTCACTCACAATCTCTTTTCTTTTTTCATATTTCACATGCTTGGACCAATACAGCATACATGAGTACTGCTGTTCTAGTATCTTGCCAGATGTATTTTCTTTTTTTACTTCAATAAATGTGCATTTTTTTCTATGATTTCTTCCTGATGTATTTTTGGGGATTCCCTATGAGTACGGATCAACAAACTTGTGTGTGAAGTATATCTAAACGAAGCTTGCAAAACCTGCAGTTCTCTTGTCTGTAGCCGTGCAAGCCTACTCCTTCTAATTACACCTAGGCTTTCTGTGTCTGTCCAATGCAGCTCAATAAGACGTCTTTGCAAGGCAGGTGCTCCGAACAGTTGCTGCCTCTTGAGTTTAGCTCCACTGACCAGGAAGTGATAGCATCAGTTGTCTACTTGAAAGCCAGTGGGGATGTAACCAGGTTAATTTATAAAAGTGTTTATTTATTGAAATCTGCACTTTTTGCAAAATTGAAAAAAACCCAGCCATGATCTAGGATCATACATAATGTGCAATATTGTGTAACATTTTATATATTTTATATTTTGAGATTTGAGATACATGAAATTTGGAAAACAATTCTCTTTTTACATTACAAGTGAAAGCGTGAATTAACACACATTCCTATGGATCTAGTAATTAGCAGATATAATATTCAGAAAGAACATATAACTTGGTTTTGTTCTTCTATTGCACAAGTTCCACTGGTCCTGCTACAACATACACTTCTTCATGAGATAATTGGGTGTCTCTCTTGTGCCTCTTGATACATCCCTGGCTGCAGCGAGATGGATAACTGTACTGCTTACAGACAATTAGTTTACATCGAAGGTACACAATGGAATCTTGTTGCAGGAAACTAAAGGCTCTGAATCCAAAGCGGACTGTGCTTTGAGAGGAGGAATAATATGTCCGGTAGCCAGGGGCTCTGCTACATCTGAAATATCAAAAATGAATTTACTATTTAATGGGTTAATCTTTTTTTCAAAATAATCTGACTCTGAAATAATTAACAGTGAGATGATTTTATCTAATGGTGTGGTGTGATTGCTATTAACAATGATCTGCTAAAACCAGGGGTCAGAAATCTGTTAACCCAACAGCCAAAGACCATCTACCCAGTCTTGTGCTCCGCATGTAATGTTGTACCATATAGTAATGAATGATGGCTTATCCCTTGACCACAATGACTACCAGAGCTCAGCTATAAAGGGAGTAGTGAAAAGTTATTTTCCTGCTCAATAACAGTAGATTGCAGAATGAGGTGCAGAGCCACATGGTCGCTTAGAAGTTTGGATTTGAGCCACAGCTTCAATGCCTGTTCTCACTGTAGTTACTCCACTGGTGATCAATTTCGATAATAGTAGGGTTAATAATCAAACTGTTAAAGGAACACTACATCTTAATGTAATGGTTTTGGTGTTTATAGCATGTCCCTGCAGGCTTTTCAATATAAACACTGCCTATTCAGAGACAAGACAGTGTGTACATTGCTGCCTAGTAACACCTCTAGTGGCAGTCACACAGATGGCCACTATAAGTGCTTCCTATCTTAGTGCTACACTGTGTGCAGCACCTACCTTCAGGGTCTCCATGCTCTGCATGGAGGGGCTGAATGTTCCTCATAGAGATGCACTGATTCGATTAATCTCTATGAGAAGGTCCTGATTGGTGCAGCGCATTGTTTTTGTGCAAATGCGCAATAGCCTCCGAATGCTTTCCTAGGGGAAAGCATTGGATGGACTGATATCATCAAGATTGATGGTTTCAGTCATGAAGGTAGAGACAGCTGCGGCGAGACAGGCGAGGGAGAAAAGTTAAATAAAACCACTTTTTATCTCTACAGAGATACTTATTTTTATTCCTAACACTATAGTGTTCCTTTAATTGTTGGGAAATCAAAGCATATTCAAAGTGATTGTCAAATTTTAGGCCAAAATAATTGAACTGGGAAAATTCAAGTAAGCTATGTTTTTAATTTGACTAAAACAGAAACTTTCTAAGAATTCCTGACAATCCACCATTTAAAGGTGCAGAGTCCTGTAGGCCTAAATAAAGCATCAATTTAATATTGTTGGATAAATGTTCCAATTGATTTAATATCTTTAGATAAAGTTTAAAATATACTTTTTCAGCATATTGAAAAAGAAAAAAAATATATAATATATATAAATATATCAATATTTTTAAAAAAATCTTTAAGCATATTTTTTTATACTATTTAATAATTTTTAAAAAGTTTATCCTAAAATATGAAATAATTTGAAAAGCTTATCCAATAATTTTATATCGCGACCAATGTCATGAAAAATTCTTCATATTCCCTGGTCTATATTTAACAGCGACATTCCAAGCACCATATCTAATACAGTGCAATGGAGTGGTTTTGGTGACCTGGCATCCCACCATTTTAAGTAGTCAAACCGGGTTAGAATGGTCTGCCTCCTTAAATGGGATCTGCAAGCCACCGCTTCCTGTCTCCACTACTTCAAACAGAGAGCTTCTGGCTCTTTGTGCTAAGTCTGACTGCACTGAAAGTCTAAGGTAAGGAGTGCTTTCCTGGAAGCTTAGAGGAGGCAAGGGACAGGTAAGATTCAGGCCATTCTAAATACTTAGAATGTGGGGGAGGGGGCACCAGGGCACTTCCAATATCCATGTTGGAACAAGCTTAAGAAACTTTTGTGCTATCATAATGCCTGGTTTAGAGCCTAATGACATGATCTTAAAACGTTTCTTACCCATTATGTATTATGTAGTAAATATTTCTTGCAAAGTTAAGGCGGTCAGGAGAAGCCACACATGTTTCCACAAACAAAATTAACGATGGGTCTGAGGTGATAAGGGAAGCTTGGAGGTACAAATCCTGATTGTGTTGGATATAATATGGATACTGGAGTACTGGGTAAAGAAAGCTTGCTGACTGAAAGAAAGTCAGGTTAGTTGAGAAGAGGCCATATTGCGTTAAGGTATTCTCAATGGTGTCGTCTGCATGGTATATTGTGTCCACCATGGCTTCCTGATACATTTCACATTTTAGGGTAAGACTGAGTTTTTTACTATGAGTTATCACTGGTTCAGCTGCATAAGCCCATAGCTTGTTTGTGTAACGGATTGTATCAGTTTCTGTCTGTTTTTAGAAAAAAAAAAAGTCAAATATACAGTTAGAAGCATCGTATTTCAAAACATATATATTCAATAAAATTATACTTATGTAATTCATTTGCCTTCTGGTCACTGTTATGCTCCTTTTAAATAAGCACCCCAATACCACCTCTCATGAGAAGGCAATACTCCCATCATTGATCAGTTATACAGGGAGGGCCAAAATTCTGAGTAGGATTTGACAAGTAAAAGAACATTATACCTGAGACTTGCGAGATTCATCATGGGTAATTTCACGAAGGAACAATGAATTAGCCAAAGAAAACAATTAATTTATTCATCAACTAATCATGTCCGACAAAGCACATTTTAATTTAAATAGCTTAGTCCGTAAGAAAAACTGCCAGTACTGTGGTACAGAAAATCCACGGATAATTCATCAGCGAAAATTGCACCTTACCAAATGCAACATTGGGTGCGGGCTGACCTCGCAGGAAGTTATTGGTCAGAAATTTGAGCGTTAGAGCCTCAAACATGAACTAATGTTATGAACAATGCAATCGGAAGAGCCTGACTTTGTGAGGCGGCAAATTTAAATTGGACATTTAGAAGATGTCATCTTCCATAACAAGTAAAACAAATCTCCATTCGTTAAGCATTCATTGTATGTAATACCATTAAAGTTGGTTCATTACTAATATGTTATTGACTCGTCAAACTCTACTCTGAGGCCCATCCTTATATAGTGATCGAAGGCACTTGAATATTATAGAGTCTCTCCACTTGTCCATGCATTGTGTTTAGCATTTGTGGGCATATGCAGAGTCTTCAGCTTCATGTGAGCAGGACATGTATAATAAGGCTTTAGCATTTGGCACATGCTGCACAGAGTAGGTCCTCTGGGCATCTACATTATCAGAGTGGTGCTTCTGCAGAAAATGAGCATTATTAAATTTAAACAATTTACGTTTAGGATTGTCTAACTTCATAACTATTCGTGATTAGTCTGTAAAACCAAATCCTGTAAAAATGTATACCTATGACCCCTGATTCTCAAAGCTGCTCTTTTCTCAAGTTCTGTACAATCATATTTGAAACTGCTAATATTTTTATTTTCTTCATATCTGAAGATTATATTTCATTTTTTTGTTTTTTTGTTAACTAGCCAGTTCATTATTTGTTTGTTTTGGACAAAATGTTTGTTTATGCAGTTTGTAGCATAAAATACTTGTTGAACTATTGTGCTATGTTACGGATCAGATATGTACTGTGAAGTGTCTATTTTATCATTGTGTACATCATAGTTATATTCAACTACCTACCTGTTCCACCGTTAGACATCCCTGATAGGGAACATGAAACTCCAGCCATCCTGAAATAACCCGCGGACGACATTTTGGGTCATTTAAGAAAACAGTCTCCGGAGAATAACCCATCGACTGAAGATATGACAGTGAGATTTGAGCCTCCATAAAATTTGTGAAACAGGAAAGAGTAACTATATTAAAAAGAGAGGAAACCAGTTGTAAATCAAGACACAGTGAGTAAAACAAGACAGGAACACAACAGACAAGAATAGTGTTCTGCTTGATTATGCTAAGAAGGAGACAGATCTAGAAAAAAGGATATAAAATGGCAGCAGAAAGTTAACGTAGATAAAAAAAGGGAAGAATGTTGACAAAAAAAGAGCAGAGTAAGTGCTCTTAAGTAAATCAGAGCAGATTGTGTAAAGAGAAGAAGAATGTGGGAAAGGCCGAACAACAATGATATAGAAGAAGGAGATACAAAGCATCAGGTCCACAGAACTTCTTTAACCGGAGGAACTGTCTGAGAAAAGTGGATGAACCTGGGATACAGTATATCCAAGAATGTCATGCAAAATTTCAAGAAACATCAAAAAGTAACTAAGCGGAAGCCTCTATTTACCCTTATTCCAGACTCGTTCTATATCTGTACTACTACACTGGGATGAAAGGATGGGTTTTTTTTTCTATTCTTGATACAATCAAAGTTTTAAGTATCCAAATATCAAAACAGAAGCAAGACGAAAAGCAAACCCATGATTCTAAAATGATAAGTAAAAGATACAAAGAAAATAAACACCTGATAGACCAAGACCTAAAACAAAATCTAAAACAAAAGAAAACCCCAAATATTAAAAGGCTCGTCATTTCTAGCCCATGACACTCTTATATGAGGTAATTATTGTGGAGATACAGTCGGATCGAAATAGTGATTCCCCACTGTCCCTGTCTTAAGGGCTTAGGATGAAGTCACTTACTTTCTCTTCGTCACCAGCTTCTCCTATTGTAGCTGTCCACACTTCAAGGGTTGGAGTTCTGGCCTCAGTTTGTACTATAACTGTGTACTAAGATGGAGATGTTGCCCTTGGCATCATTTATAGAGACATGTAACACTTAACTCCATCTCCAGAAAGAGGTCATCTTTGTGAACAGGAAATCCCAATAAATACTGTAAGCATGCGCAGTCCAATGCTTGGTTATTCTAAAGTTTTGGCTAGTTTCATTGGTCAGTATTTATCTGAGCTTATCCATACTATTTATACTGCTCATAAATAGAACACACTTTGCAGGATGCCACTCTGTGTCTATTTATTATACAGTACTTATGAAAGAATGATTCATACTTCAATGAATGTGGGACACCTGTACAGTACGTTAATATTAATGGACACAGATTGTGGCATTAGTGCCTAAGTGGCTTCAATTTGTTTCTATGGAGAAAGAGAAGACCAGCTAAAATGGCAATTTACACAGCATATCCACAGCAGCTCAGAGTAGTGCTTACGCGGCTAAGAGTCTGTGAACAATTGTTGTCAAACTTTTTAGGAGCAATTTCACAAAAAACGAGTGACTCAGAGACAGCCTATTTTCTAGCTGATTTAATAATGTAGAATTACACTTCCTCTTTAGAAAATCAGTTAGAGCCTATCATTCTCTAGCACAGTAAAAAATAATAAAGAAAATACAAAAGTAGGGCCACTACATGCTTGCTAGGGAAATTTTCCTCTTTTTTTTTTTTTGTAAATCAAACTGCTTCTAAACGTGGATGCCAAAAATATTGAAATGGTGTCTATTAACTCATAACTACATATAGGGGGAAAAAATATTTATTTTAAGATTTTTTTTGGTGTTGTCCCATAGTGACCCTCCAAATGGTATCAGGCTGCTAATTTTATTTGATGTTAAAAGGTGGAGGCCATTTGGTTGGCTATCTTTACTCTACATCTTTCATATAAATGGTGTGCATTAAATAAGTCTAAACATTAGAGATACGTCTTATATTGTATATATTTATAATGCTATGCTTTATACACCAGACAAACCTCTGTCAAACGCTATTTAATTGATAACATTACAAACACAGTGATCATAAAAGATGATCATACAAGTTACCGCTTTGGTTGTTGGGGAGAATTGAGCTGTACGTTGCTCTAAACGTCAAGCCTGGCCTACTACCATTTCTTCTAATTGAATCTCTACTGGAATACACAACGCTTATGCTGTTCGAAGTTGAGATAAATCTCCGTTCAGGGGTCTTGCAGAGTTGACCGAGTATATGAGACCCAAGTGGTGTCCCATCATACACCAACAGAGAAGAAGAGTTACAGGACAAGAAATCCAGCATCCTTCATTTGAAGCGTAAAAAGACAAGAAATTAAGAAAATAAACAAATACAGAATAAACCAAAGGGCAAAAAATTGTCAATGTGTAATTATATTCTCATATAGTTAAAAAAAAAAAAACACAAAACTTAAATATAAATATTACTTTCAACATGTACATAATTCAATAGTTCAGTTAATGTATGTTACCATTAAAAGGACACTCCACTGCACCCCCCCACCCCCAAATCTATATGTATTAAAGATACCCCAATGGAAATATACATGCATTTAATTATGCATTTTTAAAAACAGCTTGCAAAAGATGAAGATAGCTTGCCTTTGTAATCGCTCCCCTCTAACCCCACCCAGACTTCTGTGGCTGTCCAATCACAGACTTTCCAATGCAGCTCAATGAGACCTCTTTGCAGGGCAGGGTGGGGTAGGGCTGTAGTGGTTGATTGGGGGATTGTAGGGGCTGTAGAAGATGTTGGGGGGTTAGGTGCCGTAGCAGGGGGGAAGAGGGGCTGCAGTGGGGTCTCAGAGGTTAGAGGCTGTTGCCTCTTGGGTGCGTTATGGTGTTCCCATGCACACACCTGTGCTGGTAAGTGTGACTCGGACCCTAGTAGCATAGGACTTGAAATTATAAGCCCTGATCTATGTTACTGCAGTTTACAATCCCTGGATGAATGTGCCTTAAAATAAAGAATCGGTTGGGTATATAAATCATGCAATATATTTATATGTGCCATTTACTTATAAATACAAAAATTGTAACATTGCATACTCACACAAAATCTGTAAAATAAAGTTGAATTTTATAGTTGTTATGAACATGAATAAACCAAACACAATAATCTGCTTCATCACTGGAAGATTTACTTGGTGAAAAGGATATAATTCCATTTAAATCGGTCAATATTTCACCACAGTTCACTGCAATAATAAATAAATATATCAGACAAGTGCCTATTTGGATACAACTGCATTTTTTCTGTATCTGGGTTAACAAGTATACATGCATTCTTTTAAATGGACACGCCCCTACACAGATAAAGAAAATCACTGTTTAGTATATATACCTAAAATGCAAGCATGCATTTAATTACTCATTTTTATCATTGGGGGTATATCTTAAAACAGCTTGAAAAACATGCAGGTTGTCTGCAGCCTTTGCAAGCCCTCCTCTTCTAACCCCGCCCAGACTTTCTATGGCTGTCCAATCACAGACTTCCCAATGCAGCTCAATGAGAAGTATTTGCAAGGCAGGTGCTCTGGGCAATTGCTGCCTCTTGAGTTTAACTCCACTGAGCTAACCAAACCAGGAATTAAAAGGACTGGTCGTCTGCTTGACAGCCGGTGTGTTGTAACAAGGTTAATTTATAAATGTGTAAATTTCTGTTGAAATCTGCAGTTTTTGCCATATTCTTTAAAAAAAGGACACACTCTTCACACATAAAATGTCAGCAAGCAAAAGTGATTTAGGGGTCCTGAGTGTGCCTTTAATTATTATAAAAAATCAAACGTGCAATTAGATTAATTCATAAATTGATTGTCAATACATGTGTTTTCCAGTTCCATCCATATGTAAGAACAATTTTCATCTGACAGCAGAAACACAAAACTCACTCCAACCAATGCATGTTTTATATATAATATTGTACAGGTGTGTATATATTTATTGTAAGTATTATAATGCTGTTACAGTATTACCTGGTATGTCAGTGATTGCACTCCGGGTTCTGTATTTGGCCAGGACGACTGTTCCTCGAGCAATGCTATCACTTCTTAATTCAATAGCCATAATATTGGAAGAAGAATAAAAACTGGTATTTTCAGCTCGGCAAATCTTTCCAAGAAGAATGGAGCTCTCTGGAGGTCCATCATATACCTTTACCCATTCGTGTTCACAGCTGGAACTTGTATTCTCAATATTGTTCATACTTAGAGGGAAATATTGATGAGATTATGAATGGTGAACATCGAATATTTATATTCAAACATAGGAGGGCCGATGCAAAGAATATTTATATAATATGATTATACAAACTGCAACACAAATCACAGCTGTGTTGAAATGTCTTTCTGTCTGTCTGTCTATCTAGGAAATTGGGTAAAACCCTGTATCACATCAGTGGCATCAGTACAGTAGATGAGTAGAGATGTCGCGAACTGTCCGCCGGCGAACAATAGCGTGTTCGCGTTGGGCGAACATATCCGATTTCCGGTCCGCCCCCTATACGTCATCATTGAGTAAACTTTGACCCGGAACCTCACAGTCAGCAGACACTTCCTGGGAGGGAGGGTCTGCTGCTGATTGGGTGGAATGTGTCTGCTGGCTGTGAGGTTCCGGGTCAAAGTTTACTCAATGATGACGTATAGGGGGCGGACCGGAAATCGGATATGTTCGCCCAACGCGAACACGCTATTGTTCGCCGGCGGACAGTTCGCGAACAGTTCGGCGGACAGTTCGCGACATCTCTATAGATGAGTACTAAGATACCAAATGCCAAAAGCAATGAATTATATATCTCTATGAAAATGACATATTTTATGACAGGTAAATAAAAAATACGCTTAACTTGGCTTTATATGTATATATATGGCTCCTTTACATTCACTTTGTTATAGTTAACAAGCCAGATTCCTATAACACTTCTTCTAGGTCTAACATGCCTCTAGTATTGCTCCAATACTTACTACAGTTCTAAGAACAAGAGCTCCACGTAGGTATTTGGGGGGGTCCGGATAACCCACACACAAACAGCATTGCTCAGGAACTGATTTCGATAGAGAGGACTGGATATAAATCCCGATGATTGTGTTAAGGTACCACCACAGGAATAGTTCTGGACTGGAATGACAGAACCACATAAGATGTAAATAATGAGATATAGCAAGCATTTTTAAAATATGACTAAGACACAAACTGCATACTATGAGCAAGTATTTCTAAATTCAGGAGTAAAATAGTAATAAGACCCCTATTCCAGGGCTAAGTGTGCATGTAAGCTTCACACAGGGTCAGTGCTACCATTAGACAAAAAGCCTGATGATTGTGTTAATGAATCACCACAGGTATACTGTATATCTCAGAGATACCCCTAACACCCATCTGTTAGGGATAGACATTCACTCACATTTATATAAGCAGATGCTCACACACTCGTACACATTCATATATACACACACAGAAATGTTTGTACAGGCATATGGTGACATTCATAAACACACAAACTCGCATTCATATACACACACATATACGCCCATTCATATACACACACTCAACTCATATGCCCATTTATATACACATGCTCAACTCATACGCCCATTCATATACACACACACACATTTGCTTTTTATATAGACCTATACACATTTTTTTTCTAATCTTTATTCATGGTGTCCAGCGGTTTGTTGCTGGGATCAGTCTGTGCAATGATTGCACAGCTCTCTGGACCACCACCAGTAGGTAGGTACCTGCTCTGGTGACATATACTATATATATACTGATATAGATAGATAGATAGATAGATAGATAGATAGATAAATAGATAGAAAGATAATGTTTAGTCATAAATACTGATCTGTACAGTGTATATATGGTTAAACATGATTAACCCCTTAAAGACACAGATTCAGAAATAAAAGGCCAGCTTGATAGACAAAGTTCCATCATGTGTCCTTAAGAGGTTAATGCCACAAACTACATATTAGAAGTAAGTAATTCTCAATGTAACAATACACTGATAAGACTTCTCTTCCTGGCCCAAGTGGGTATCATTAGGTCAATGAGACATTCCACTGGAATGCCAGCCTGTAAGGGGGCAATGTGATCAGTTGCTGTGAATGAGTTGTGTCTGTGTGTTCTTCTCACTGATGTGTTCCCCTCTGACTGACACCCTCTGTTGAATCACAGCACAACCAGGACACCATGCCAATATATCTACTCTAAGGTCAAAAAGCCACTGCAGAAAGTGTACACCACTACAGAGAGTGTGGGCATCCCACTGCAGAGAGTGTAGGCATACCACTGCAGAGAGTGAGGCTGTACCACTACAGACAGTGAGGGAGTACCACTGCAGAGAGTGTGGGCGTACCACTGCAGAGAGTGAGGGCGTACCACTGCAGAGAGTGAGGGCGCACCACTGCAGAGAGTGAGGGAGTACCACTATAGAGAGTGAGGGCGTACCACTGCAGAGAGTGAGGGAGTACCACTGCAGAGAGTCAGGGCATACCACTACAGAGAGTGAGGGAAAACCATTGCAGAGTCAGGGCGTACCACTGCAGAGAGTGAGGGAGTACCACTGCAGAGAGTCAGGGCGTACCACTGCAGAGAGTGAGGGCGTACCACTGCAGAGAATGAGTGTGTACCACTGCAGAGAATGATCAGTGTTCCCCTCTGACTGATGCCCTCTGTTGAATCACAGCACAACCAGGAGACCATGCCAATTTATCCACTCTAAGGTCAAAAAGCTACTGCAGAAAGTGCACACCACTACAGAGAGTGTGGGGGTACCACTGCAGAGAGTGAGGACGTACCACTGCAGAGAGTGATGACGTACCACTGCAGAGACTGTGGGCGTACCACTGCAGAGAGTGTGGGCGTACCACTGCAGAGAGTGAGGGCGCACCACTGCAGAGAGTGAGGGCGCACCACTGCAGAGAGTGAGGGCGTACCACTGCAGAGAGTGAGGACGTACCACTGTAGAGAATGGGGGCATACCACTGCAGAGCGTGAGGGCGTACCACTGCAGAAAGTGAGGGAGTACCACTGCAGAGAGTCAGGGCATACCACTACAGAGAGTGAGGGAGTACCACTGCAGAGAGTCAGGGCGTACCACTGCAGAGAGTTAGGGAGTACCACTAAAGAGAGTGAGGGAGTACCACTGCAGAGAGTCAGGGCAAACCACTACAGAGAGTGAGGGAAAACCACTGCAGTCAGGGCGTACCACTGCAGAGAGTGAAGGCGTACCACTGCAGAGAGTGAGGGAGTACCAATGCAGAGAGTCAGGGCATACCACTACAGAGAGTGAGGGAGTACCACTGCAGAGAGTTAGGGAGTACCACTGCACAGAGTGAGGGAGTACCACTGCAGAGAGTGAGGACGTACCACAGCAGAGAGTGAGTGTGTGCTGCCAAGTTTAGTATGCCAGATAAAGGGACACACCAACACAGCACATCCACTACTTTGGGCCACCAGGGAAGCAATCAAGGAATCAGTAGCCCCATTAGGTTAAAGGAACACTCTAATATTAGGAATATAACCCTGTATTTCTAACGTTAAAGTGTTCTGCTATAGTGTTCACCCCCACGTAGTAAAAAAAAAATATATTATATCATTCTTCTTAAAAAAGTTAGCAATTTACTTAACTTACGAATTAATTGCCAATACATAACAATTCTGATCTGATAATGGTAGCATGACGATCACCCCAACCAGTACAAGTGTGTATATATTTATTGTCAGTATTATAATGCTCTCTGCTGTTACATTATTACCTGGTATGTCAGTGATTGCACTGCGGGTTTTGTATTCAGCTAGGAAGCCTGTTCCTCGAGCAATGCTATCACTTCTGAATTCAATAGCCATAACATTGGAAGAAGAATAAAAACTTGTATTTTCCGCTCGGCAAATCTTTCCAAGAAGAATGGAGCTCTCTGGCGGTCCATCATATACCTTTACCCATTCGTGTCCACAGTTGGGACTTGTATTCTCACTATTGTTCATACTTAGAGGGATGAGATGATATTATTAATGGCATACAGCAAACATTTATATTACACTAAACACACATTTAAAATCTGCTCATACAAAATGTCACAGACTAGATGGGCCAAACGGTTCTTATCTGCCACCAGATTCTATGTTTCTATGTTTTAAGGTATGAAACAGACTAGAGACTAAAAAAACATCACAATTTTTTAAACTGAAAGTGTTAGTATGTCTGTCTGTCTATATTACTCATAAATATGAATATTTTGAATCTTTTTTTTACACCTGTGCTTCTTTTTGTACCCTTGCCAAATATTTAGAATGTACATACTTTCGCCAGCATTACAATCACTTTTTCTACTAGAAAAGTGTTCTTTTTACTTTTGTAACTGCCACTTTAAGATAGGCAGTCTTTTCTTAAAATCGTATATTTCTCAATGACCAAGTCAAAATTTAGGCAGAAAAAAGCTGATGTGTCTTAGACCATTTTTAGAACAATTTAATAAACACAAACTAAAAATAATTACAGGAAGTTAAAAATAATTTCAGGAAGAATTACTTTACTGAGAGGGTAGTGGATGCATGGAATAGCCTTCCAGCTGAAGTGGTAAAAGGTTAACACAGTGAGGGAGTTTAAGCATGCGTCGGATAGGCATAAGGCTTGACTTGAGATAAGACCAGCAAATAATGAAAGGATTTAGAAAATTGGGCAGACTAGATGGACCAAACGGTTCTTATCTGCCATCAGATTCTATGTTTCTATGTTTTAAGGTATGAAACAAACTAGAGACTAAAAAAACACAAAATCGGAGCACTTAAAACTCCAATTTACTTATGCAGTTAGAGTTTGCATTTGGATACACCATATTAAGGGCCAATAATGTATGTCATTATTGTACAAATAATTTCAGTATAAATTAATGTGAAGAAAATGTCATGTTAATGCATTAAGCTAGGAGAATTGTTAACAAATAAATTGATCAATAAGTCTAAATCAAATATATTCCCCCATTATCTGACAATCAATTTCTCGACATACATGACTATGCACGAACCTCCTCAAGGTTCTTCTGCTCTTCATTACAATAACTACAGTTTACATGCAGTAGTTGCTTCTTATATTGTCCGAATACTTACTAAAAATTTAGGAACACAAGCTCCACGTAGGTATTTGGCGCCGTCCGGATAACCCACACACAAGTAGCATTTCTCAAGTAGTGAATTGGATAGAGAAGACTGGATATAAAGCCTGATGATTGTGTTAAGGAACCTCCACAGGTGTAATTCTGGTCTGGAATAACATAACCATATGACATATATATAATGTGATATACCGTGCTGTGGCACTAAAGGCTTTTTGGAGCATTTTACACTGTGTCTATTTATTGATTTTAGAACATTTTGTAATAAAGGATGTTTTATACGGAGAATGAGCAGTGGTCCAATTATCTCAGAATCGCTATCATTTTGTTTTTATATATATCTCCATGGGCTGAGTAACGCTTTTGTGGCACTGAAGGACATGTAATAAATTTGAGTGCTCTGTGATGTTTTATCTCCTCAGCATGTTAAAACTAATAGAAACCCTCTGACGTCCCCCCCCAAAATTAGGAAGTATTTGCAGATATATTCTAATGGAGACTACCAGTTAGTATTTTTAAAAGGTCCATAGTTTCTGGAGAGGTGTCTCTAGCAGCAGTTTGGTGAGGCCTCGAGGCATCCTGGAAGCTCAGATCCTTTGTATTATGTAGAGGTTGCGCATTAGAGGAGTCCGAGGAGTCTCCAAGATCCGACGCCATACTGGGCGGCTCTCCCCATGTAACCTCCGAAACAAGTTATTAATATCCGCTGTTTAACAGTTTGAAGCACAGTTTGAGTGTCCATTTCAGAGAAACACAGACACAGCACATCCTCTAATTAGGCCACCAGGAAATCAGAGAGCCTATGCAGGATTTTAACGTCATATTTACTCATGCCCTATATTATAACAGATATGTATTTGTGAGGTATGATCAATAAATTTAAATTTAGAAATCCACAACTTTTTATCTTGTAACGGGGTGCCCCCATGTTAGCTGACTTCTGTCATTGCTATAAACCTTGTCCTTTGCACCTGGCAATGAGCATTGAGAAAGTATACAGAGAATAGGAGAAACGAAACAGTGTTTCCATTTCTCCTCCTCATTTACAATGTATACCCTGGCCTTGCCTTGTCTGAACTGGACTGTGATGTCAGTTGCTAAATATTAACTATAAAAGTAAAAGAAAACAAAGCTTTTCGTAAAAAAGGTTAATACAAATTACTAGTGGTTTTCAGTTTGTTTGTTTTTTATTCAATTATGTAGATTCCCGAGACGTGGAATGTACACCATCGGAATATATATCCTGTAGTTTAGATTAGTAAGAACATGGGTTTGTTGACGTGTAAAGTTGAATGTGTACTGGGAATTCAGGTGACCCACAAGGTCGTATATAATAAAGACATCAAACTCAGTTACTAATAAAACCTCTGCAAGAGGTATATCCTGAGAAACAAAACAAAACAAATAAACAAAAAAAACAAAAACGTAAAAGGCAATGAATATCTGAATGTACTAATTTCTCCCTTTCTGCCATTATCTCTATAAATTGGGGGATATCCCTTTAGATGAGCACAACACAGAATAGTGAGATTTTTGCAGAAAAATATAAAAGTATATTACTTTATTGAGAAAAATGAGATTAAGATAGCTATTTTCAAGCGCATTAACACAGGTGTGCATTTTCACAGGATTAGGGTTATGCAAAAACATCTCACATGACCTTATGTAAACTTTTAACCAATTTTTTTTTAACCCATTGCAGTGCACAAAAGAGCAACCTGGAGGAAGAACATATTTTGGAATTCCTGTTCAGTTCATTATTTGTATTTGTTTCTGTGCATGCATGCAATTCCTTAGTCAAGGCAGCATCACTGCTGAGAAATGCATGTTTTTTCTGTGTGTATTTGGAATCCAGACCAGATTCCTATCGAGCTGAGCACCCCACCCATTCATTATTTGTGCCCCTTTTGGAGGAGACCACAGGAAAGCATAAATTTGAGGAAAGTCTCTGGAATCAGTTTATGCATTAAGCATTGTAGTTAGCATGTTATTCTCCCATGTTGAAATTTGTGTAGGACCCACCGATATTAGGTTCCTGTGGCATAGACGTGGGTCTAACACAATATGGTCATATGGTATAGCTGAATTCCCATATATGTTTGCTAAGAAAGGTGATTTTAAGTAGCCCTGTAAAATGTAAACTGTAGTTTGTTGTGTTTGCTGTTCTTTACTCTGTATTATGCTCTTTGTATTAGAGACTCTAAACTGCCTCTGACTTACTCTATTTTAAATGCATTTCAGAATTAAGGCCTGTGAGCTTTGCAGCCTGGACCCAAGTCCTTAACTGCAACACCAGAGGGGTCAGAGAGCACTCGGAGGTTCCAGGCTGGTATGGCCAAAAGACTGGCAGACGCCATATTGGCTGCTCGGAGAGGGGCGAAGCCTAAAACCAGCTTACCATGCGGTCCTGAGTAGCCAGTCAAGCACAATGAATAAAACCTTTTAAATACTGTGCTGAAGGAAGCACTCACTCCTTTACAGACATAAGGCCTAACACCACATGGAGACAGCTGCATATCACCACCCAAACCTCTAATCACAAAGGGGTCCCTCCACCTCAAGTGGACCTACACCATATCTCAACTCCGCTACCCCAAGAGAAAAAGCTTATAGCTTAAATACATTAGTTCCTTTTATTTCCACAAACCAAAATTCCTGCTCATCTTGAGCTGGCCCTGATTATTGATATCTCTTGCACAACAATAAAGGAAGCCACTGTGGTTTGTCCAATATATCACACTGGATCCTGGCTATGTCTATAGAAGCCATATCAAATACTCAACATAACATTTCTGCTGTGATAAGTCTAGCCGTACGTTCTATTTTATGATGAATATCACAACTACGTGCTATTATACTACCCATATTCCTTTTCTGACAACACCTACACAAAAACTGTTGGCGTTAGTTACATTTTCAATATGCCGTTATTTTTCCTCTTTACTGTCCTCTTTTTTTTGTCCTTCCTACGAGAAGACTGCTCTGACACCTAGTGGCGATATTTAATACATGTTTTTCCACTTTTTCTTACTCTTTCTTCTCTATAATCAGTTTCTTGGTAGTAATAAATTAGAAGGGTATATAAGAATGTATGTTTTGCCAAATTTGATCATTTTGTTTTTGAAACTAGTTTTAGAGTTTTGCTTAAATTTTTTCTCTTTTAATTGAAGAGGTTGGTTTTCAGTGTAAATGTACATGTTAACTATTTTTCCCATTTAGGTCCCATTCTCCTATTGTCACTTAAAATAAATACACAACTAGCGTTGCAACATTTTAGCTAACTTACCAGTCTTATATAATTAATGAGTGTGACTCACAAGTTAACTCACAAGTTAGAGCATGGACTGCAGAATGTTAACAGGACCATTAAAAAAAAAAAAACTTCACACATGTAATAACACGAGGTGTATAAAGTATTTGCTAAAAAGGCTTTTTGCCAAAATATGAGAGTTAGGAGGTTAAGTAGGGTATGTACATTTTCCGTGTTGGGATTGGAGTAACTTTGTGCTACCAGGAGACTGCGTTATTATAACGTCCAGAGGAATCAAGCAAAAAATATATGTTGAATGTAACATTATGTCCTTGTTATATTATTTTTGGATAGGCTCTTCAAATGATTCAGATATTTTTTTAAAACTTTTAATAAAGTTTATAATTGGAAAAAATGTTTTAACATATTAATATTTTGATTTATATATATATATATTGATATATTTTAGATATGATATATGATTTGATATTTTAATATTTTGAAAAAAATATTTTAAAAGTTTGTCCAAAAATATTAAATGATTTAAAAAATATTAAATCAAGGCTGATGATATTGATTCATAAAATGTAACACCTCCACCAAAACAGCACGTGCAAAGGAAA